AGACAATCCTTATTAGCCCCATGAGAGGTATCTCAAATGAAAGATGGTAAAAAAGCACTTCATTTCAAGACGTAAAACAGACCCGGAAGATATACAATGAAAACTAGTGGGCACATACCCACATGGCGAGCTGAATGGCTGGACCCGTTTGCTCCTCCCCTTCAGCTGCTGCCATAAACTCACACAGACGCAATTCATCAAACATATGGAGCGCATAATTGGGTAAGAAACATTCATAAGCCCACATTGTGTTACGTACCTTGGTCAGTGGGCAAAGACACATCATCTTCATCCCTGATCACCGTTCAAGTCAGTAAATTAAAAATTAAAATCACAAGAAACCCAAACCAGAGAGAGTGCAATTCACAAGAATAAGGTATGACCGGCGTTGGGGTATTTTGAAACGAAAGTTGCTTGCCTGTGAAATTGCTGGCCATGGGATTGGTGGCGGTGGTTATCTTTCTTGAACCGCCTCTGGTTTTGCTTGTTGTGGCCCATTTTTCGTCTGTTCTAGGTATCTTGCTCAGCTGTGTGCAAGCAGGAACAGTTTGATGAATAAAAAAAAGTAGCATGTATTTTTTGAAGTTTACATATAAAATTTTAAAGTTGATTAATTGTCAACTCAGTACACGAACATACCACAATTTNTTTTAAACGATAGTGTTTCATTAGCTATAAAACAGGTAAACAGCCGAATAAATTAGCTATTTAGCTAATAATAGAATTGAGTTAAGGTTCTTTAACTTCAAATTCTCTTTTAAGATAGTTAACAATCAATAATGAATAGCTAAAAACTTTCAACTGTCTAATCCCCATGGATCATTCCATATCCAACCAAGGAGCGATAAGGGGCGATTGTTTATGTTTTGAACACTAAAAAAATAAATCAAAACTCAAATTTAACTCAACTTTAACCCAACCGCACTATTTTCCATATTATCAATATAATTAAATAATATCAATCAATCATTTTTACACATCACATCAACTTTAATTCACTATTCATCCACTCACATAATTTTAACTAACCATCACTTCCAATCATTTTTCTCTTACTTTACATCAAATCAATTTTAATTATTTTATTTAAATATTATTTTAATATATCCACTAACAACTAACCATACCAACTTTTTTCAAAATTAACTATAGTTAAAAAACAAACTAAATAAAAACTTGTTGAATCAATAAACAATCACCCCTTAAGGGCTTCGTATATGATTTATCATTATAAATTATAATGATATATCAACCAGTACCGAACTGTAGTATGATTTATTAAACTAAAAAAAGAGCAAAATATTTAAAATGTACTTTATTAAATTACAAAATATTAAGATACTTTTTACACTAAATTATTGTTTAAATTAATTATCAATTTATAATATTTGCCACAAATATTTCACTTTATCATCATTTATTTAAGGAAAAAAATAAAAATTCTTTGATTCAATTGGGAGATTGAATTATGTTACTGCCCAGATTGATTGAATTACTTTTAGGTGATATTTAAAATAGTCTAAAAAATGACACAAATAGGGTTGATCTCAGGTAATTAAGTTATGGATTAGTTTGGCCAGACCAAATCGATTATTGAACCTAAATATAAATTTTAATATTGAAATGAGTTATTACGTAAATGTGATGTAGCCCAAACTCCAACTAATCAAATTAATAAAAATTTTACGACAACATGTTAAAAGATTTATGAATATTTATATAATATTTTTATTAATATTTATGTGAATAAACGATATTTTAATACAAATTTTATTAATGTACAATAAATCTAAGATTCTTAAAATCGGACTGTCACCAAAATGATCAAGTTACTTATTCAATGATTTATAGTTTGTCCATAATTTTATTTACTATATTTTAATATATATATATATATATAGAACTTGCGTAATAAATTTAAATAAAATGTATTTCTTAAATATCTAAACAATTTAAAATTTCGAATGTTTAAACTAATTGATAAACAATTTATAAATATCCATTTTATTTGAATATGTATGTTTATTTATAATAATTTTAAATGTAACAAAATTTATTTAGAAATCATATCGATCCTACCAGTCTGATCGACTGGTGTTGACGAGTTCGCTAGCAAATATTTTATTCAAGCGAATAGAACCTGTTATAAACAGATTCTCGATCCATCTAATTAGACTGTCCAACCTGATTTAATTTGAAAATAATAAAAAAATTATAATTAATATTAATTATATATTTAATTTTTGTTACAATCACAATATTGTTTTCCGTGTCACGCACTAGTTTATTATCATCCGGTAAAATTTCATCGACCATACCTGAATTCATTGGTCAATCAGTCTGAGGCTAAAGGGGGAAAAAAATAATAATAGGTCAATCATAACTCCATTCACATTAGAAAATGATTTACTCTAAGAATTTCTATAAATATTGCTTTTATAAGTAAAATATCACATGTACTGATTTGACCTATTAACTGCATGTGGGGTGTTTAGTTATAACTCATTTTTACTAATAAAGTAATATTTAATTAGAAAAATGAAACAATTTCCTCTAATCACACACATGAGAAGAATAAAATAGTTTAATTTAATTAGGTGTCTCCTATGGTATAAAGGTACATGTGCCCTGCATTATGGACAGGTGGAAATTTAGAATTATATGTTGGCTGTCGGCTCGGTGGCTTGCGCTTCAAACTTTATCATTAGCTGGCTTGGAGTCTTGTGTCAAGCCTGCATATCTAACTATTGCTATTTTAAGGGCAATAAATCTATAGTTAATTCAATTTAAAATTTAATTTATTTTAATTTAAATTTACTATCTTTAATATTATCAATATAATTAAATAATATAAATTAATTTTCTTACATATCACATCAACTTTTATTCACTATTAATCAGTTTTAATATTTTTTTTCCAATTTTTATAATTTTAACAAACCGTCATTTTACGCCACCTATTTTTTTTATATTTACATCAAATTAATTTTAATAATTTTATTTTTAATATTATTTTAAATAAATTCAAAATTTCACTAACAATTAACTATATTATATTTTTTTTCAAATTAACACTAATTAACAAAAAAAATCCATTTTGAGCAGAAAATTTTATATCCAACTGCAAGCACGCCCAAACTGTCAACCCTACTAATACTTACAACACTTGGAGCTTGATTATATATATGGATGGCAATTGAAATAGATATTTTGAGGATTATAAATATTACATTATAAATTCGTATGAGAGTTTAGCATTTGAGAATTTATATTTTATCCCGTGCATTTGTGCTAGGTAATGTGACCATCGACTTTACATATGTCAATTAGACACCTAACATTTTAATCACCTTGTGGATTAGTTGTTAAAATATCTAACCTTTTAATCACCTTATCGAATTAGTTATTTTTTTTTATCCTTCTAACCAATTAAATATGCTAATTTATTTTTATAAGGTTCAAAATAAATCACACTAATTAAATATTAAATTATAATAATTAAGATCTCTATATTGTAATGACAAACTTTATTTAATGTACATTAAATATAGGTCTGAACATCTATGGCGCGATTCGAAATAAATTATAACTGAATTCGTTTTGCTGGATAATTTTTTATATAAAAAAAAATTGTGATTGACTACATTTTGTTTCAAAAAACAATTACTATTTATTCCTACTTTTTTTCTCACCAGGCTTATCAACACAATGAAAAAATACAAATCAATAAAAAATACATGTTTTTTTAACAAAACTAATTGTTCATCAATAAAAAATACATGTTTTTTTAATAAAAATAATTGTTCACATTTTTTACTATTATAATTTTACAATAATTTTTTACTATTTTTATATAACATAAATTTAATTAGTACATTTTATTTTATGCTCATTCACAAACTCAAAACTAGTTGCAAATTTATTTTTTTATATTTTATCATTAAATGATGTTTTTAAATAATAATTTGTATCTAATCTCGCCCTTAACAAATTTGGTTAGGGCCAAATTAATATCTATATCTATATATATATAATAAGAATTACCATTTATCAAAAATAGTAGCAAAAAAATAGGCCAGAATTTAATGCAACTTATAAATAGTAAGTTTTATTATTTTTTTTTATTTTTTTCTTTAAAAATCATACAGCAATAAATGCTACCTTAAAATTCGGGCTTTAGTTTTTATTATTTAAAAAATCCGGCTAAGATTTATTAAGTGTGTATGTTTTTATTTTTATTTTTTCCTTAAAAACAACGAACAACATTAAAATCTCGGTCTCTATATTTATAAAATCTCAATTCAAAATATAACAAAAGTTTTAAAATTTCGGTCTTTATATTTGTGTCTTTAAAAAAATATTGAACGCTAAAAATATTCATTAAATTTCATAATCAATCAATTAATCTTAATTTTTTGAAAACTACTATGTTTATATTTTATTAATATGCATAAAGTAAAAATAATTAATTCATCTTTAGATATATAATTTATAGTCTTAATATACTATCATTTGGTGTAGACATTTATTATATAAATCATAAAATTAAGTATATTTAAAGAAAATAATAAAATTTATGTACAGTAAATATAAGGTTTTCAGAATTGGACCGTCATCGTAATGATCAAGTTATTTTATTAAATCATTTGTAGTTTGTTCAAATTTTAATTTATAAACATTTTAATATATATATATATATAGTACTTTTTGTAATAAATTTAAATAAAATGTGTTACTTAGATATCTAAACAACTAAACTAATTGATAAATAATTTATAAATCTCTATTTTATTTAAATACGTAATTTTATTTAAAATAAGTTTAAATGTAACAAAAATTATTTAGAAAATCGTATCGATCCTACTAGTCCAATCGACTGGTGTTGACGAATTCGAGGGCAAATATTTTATTCAAGCGAATTAGGCTGATTATAAACAGGTTCTCGGTCCATCACTATGTCCAACCCGGTTTAATTTAAAAACAATGAATAAATCATAATTAATGTTATTTATATATTTAATTTATAATACAATCGTAATATTATTTTTCCGTAATATTGTTTTTCCGTGCATGGCACGGGCCACGCACTAGTTAATATGTGAAAACCGAAAACCAAAAAGCCAGTCCAAGCCGAAGTCATACCCAGCCAACAAGCCGCCGCCGCCGCCACAAAACCCGTCGGTGCCCCTTTCTCCTCCACACGCCACCGTCACTCACTCCTTCGCAAAACCCATTTTTTTTTTTTACTGTAACATTGCTAATTTCTCTCTCTACGTCTTCTATCTTCTTCCCTTGTCATATACGATACTCTCACTTTGCAAGAGAGAGAGAGAGGCGCTTGCTCAGAGGTGGAGAGAGAAAAACAAGCACAAAAAACCAACAAGAGTACAAACTTGTCATCACCCCTTCTTCTCATCCCTCTTTTTCTCTCTACATTTGATGCGAATCACCAACATTCGTGCTCCACGAAGAAATGTTGATGTCCTGATTCTGAATCTAAAGAAAAGGTTTCTATATTTCTGCTAGATCTTGCTAACCACCTAGCTCATGAGTGTACCTATGGAAAATTCTGCTGGTTTGAATTGATCTCTAGTGGGATCCTTTTCGTTTTTTTCAGTCAGCATTTGCATCTAAGAACACTTGATCTACTGATTCTTGGCAACACCCAGTGAAATTTCAAAATGATTCACCGTTTGCTCAGCCGCTGTCTGATTTGATGCGAATACTTTGTTTAATGATCTGTTATTTCATGTGAATCTGATGAAGGGGCTAGCGTGTTATTGAATTCAGTTTATTTTGTTATTCGATCCGATAGATTTTTTCCACTTTGTTGTCTCACTTGATTCAGTTGCCACTTACCTGATTTGTGCTGTCAGAAGAGCTTGTAGATTTGTGCTAGTTGTATGACTTTAGGCTTTTAGTATTGCTTTGTAGTGCAGCTGATGTGTTGGTTAACAGGTCTCTGCTGCCGGATCTTGTTTGCCTCGAACAGTTGGATCTAAAGAGAAGGCATTATTAGACGTGCAGGAAAGCTGGCGGCCATACTTTCTTGGAGGGCTGCTGGTTCTAATGACGGCACCATTCTCTCCAATGACTTGGTAAGGGAAAAGAAAGGCATTTACATGGTTCTTTTAACTTGTGAGGTTTAGGGCAGTGTCAATTGAAACTTGAAATCTTCTAAACTTTCATGATCTGAATTTGGAATAAAGTATATAGGACTTTGCACGTGCTGGTTGGATGATAAGCACTAAGTGATGAGGGTTTCCTGGTGTGATTTTATTGTTGCGTAGCTTGTGATTATTTCTTCTATGTAAATTATGTTGGTTGAGGAAATCGCTTAGGAGAATAATGGATCATGCCAAAGTGGGATATACTTTCTTTCCATATCTTTTCTGAACGACCTTTTATGAAATTTTGGAAAGTTTGTGATTATGATTTTCTTCACTTTCACTTCTGAAGCAAATCGAAGATGATAGTTGATTTGTAACTTAGTGGCATAGTTTCCTCTACGTCGTGTACTTCTCCTTCAGAAGAGATCAGAAGAAGCTCCTAATTCTCATTAGAACTATCTTTCACATTAATTGTTTGTACAATTTTTATTTTTCTGATCACTTTTTTCTTCATGGACAAATTTTACATACTTTGGTTGGTTGCATATCAAGCATTCCTTCTGTTCTGTAATGCACTAGTATTACTGGTTATGTTTCATATTCTGATTCTATGCACGTAAGGAATGTGTGCATTTTGATGATTCTCTTTTCGATATATATAAAAATTGTAAAAATTGCTCCTTTTTTACTGTAGGAGAGAAATGGGGAAGCTAGATCTCATGACACTGAGTCTCCAACTCCCCACGCACTCATGAAACTGAGTTCAAGGTTGGTTGAAGAGTGGCTTTATTTTTCTTTTCCAAAAATTAGGCTTCCTGCAAATGTGGGCTGCTAAACTTTACAATTAACCTATTTAAAGTTTATGCAGATTGTAATGATGTTATCTAGCATATATACTTATTCTAGAGCACAGAACAATCTTTTTCCCACCTCTCTGTTCTGCTAACCCATCATATAACCTATATAAACCTTCATGAATGGGGGGATTTTGTCAAAGATGGATCTATTTGAAGATATAATTACTTGCATATGATATATAGTGCACATAGTTATTTTCCCACTTTTGTTACATAAACTGATGTTGCAACTTCTTAAATTCATCACTTCTCTTTATTAAAAGGCAATTAATAGATTGCTTTCCTGTTATGCGTATGGTTATCAACAAATTCAATTGACCTTTGTAGTTGTCTTAAATTTGGAAACTGAATGGAGAAAATTTTCTAGGAATCCAAGCACAACTAATGCAGCCTTATGTATTGTGATAGTGGTATGCAATAATTTTCCAACTAAGAACACACACATACACATAGGGTAGGTTTCCAATAAAAACCATTCCTCTTGTGGAAACCATATATGATGCTACTTTTAATTGTGTATGATGCTATTTTTAATATCAATATGATGCTATATTTGCACAGATTCTTTTTTATATATAATTGTGTTGCTATTTTTAAAATGAAATTCTAATTAAAAAACAGTGCCTAAAACGATTAAAAATAGCAGCCTCACTGGTGGTACACTAAGGTTTAATTCTTATTTGAACCACATCCTAGTGCTTGTGCGCTTGTGTGTGTATACTGATATAATTGTAAAATCTAGACAAAGATCAGAAAATTAGGTTTTAAGTGCCGATTTTCGTTAAAACATACTATTCATTCCTCAAGATTTGATAAATCGCCAAGGCTTATTAGGTCAACCCAATGAATCAACATTTTGAAGATTGCCATTGTTTCCAATGTTCTTCTCAAGCTCGCAGATACCTGTCCATGCTTTCTCACACAAATATCAAACTTCACCTGGACAAAGTATTGTTAGATCATCTAACACTTGAGATTTGAGATAAATCTTGAATTAGACAAAGCCTCTTTTAAGAACATCCACTACTTGGGATCTTGGTGAAAAATGCAACACAGCACGATACCACCACTTTCTCTTTCTATTAGCAAAATTACAGCCAATTCTCACAAGTCTACATGGTCAGGCTGCAATGGGTTCTGTTTTACTTTAAATCTGTTGTCACTGAGCACCTTCATGTGCCTAGTCAAAGTCATATATTGTGTTTGACACCATAAGTCATTAAGGAGACTTGGGCTGGCTCAGCAGTGGAGGCCTTCCGTGAAAAGGTTAATCAGCGAGAACATGACTATAATGTAAAAGAATAGTGTAAATCTATAAAGTGGTTTGGTTGGTGGGGTATTTATTAATTTGGAGGGTGAGTTGGTGTTGAGCGGTGTATAAAGTTGCATGCCTATTAGGTCCAATTATAAATAAGCCCATTTGACCTCCTTGAGTTTATTTTATGAATTTTTTAGTCTCTCTGCCCCCTTGCTTTTGTGTAATCTCCTTACTTTTGTGTAATCTACTACCCTGAAACCTGAATACAATTATGTTGATCTTGGGCTCCATCATACTCTCAGTCATGCCATCACAATAGACTTCCCAATATTGTTTGATTGCGTTCACTATGTTTGCTTCAGGCATTTCCTTTCGCTGCTTCAGGTAACACATTTAGCCTGGCCTTTCCTTGCCGATAATATAGATTGATGCATCTCTTAGAAATTAGTGCTGTGCAGGTGCTGCAATTGTAGTTTTAATTGTATGATTTTCCGATTGAGAGATGAAAGAGAGTTAATTATGGGTTTTCTTAGTCAAATGTCTCAGGATTGGCTGTGGATTGTCTTGGTTGGCGTATGTCATCTTTGGTGATTGATGAGTTTTAAGTCGATGGGAATCTGACTCTCCAATTCCTTAAATGGGGAACAATGCTTTATTTCATGAGCAAAACTAGTATCAACCTATTTACAGTAGTAGGAGGGCTTTAAATTGTTTATAAATGAAACATATGCATGTAGTAAAAGGAATATAATCGAGATATATGGCTTGAGAAGGAAGCAAATCTGGTTATTCATTATTGACAGTTGACGTTTCTAATTACTAGAGATCATTTCTTAGACATCTTGATTTAATATCCGTTATTTCTAGATAGACGATATTATCATTTCCAATTTATCGGAGTTATCGTGCTGATAAACCTAATATAATACACGGAGACTACAAGTCTACAATATTGGAACTAATGTGAAGTTACTCGAGGATAAAGGTCCATTATTCCTTGGATTTTCCGAGGCAGCTTTTGCCTCCTACAAGCTAAGATATTGTGACTAACTGTGTAGCATTTCAAGACCCTTTGTTTATTTTTGTGAATTTCCTACTTAATTATTGGTCATGTTGGTGACATCTTAGCCTTAGATATGTTAATTTTCATTTAGAGAATTGTTAAATTTATTAACCACTGCAGTGTCTATCACATTATTCATCTGTTTACTTTTACCCCTGATATCCTTTCTTGGTTTATATTGCTTTAATTTTGATGAAACTTGTAATATTTTTACCTATTTTGTTGGTTTAATTTTGATGAAGCGTATAATTCTTTACCTGCAGAGATAGGAGTAGCATGGAGGACCCTGATGGAACATTAGCAAGTGTTGCACAATGCATTGAGCAATTGCGACAGAGTTCCTCATCATCGCAAGACAAAGAGATTTCTTTGAGGCAATTACTTGATCTAATTGACACACGAGAAAATGCTTTTGGTGCAGTCGGATCACATTCTCAAGCGGTCCCAGTTCTTGTATCTCTTCTCCGGTCTGGGTCTCTTGGTATAAAAATACAGTCTGCTACTGTTTTAGGGTCTCTTTGCAAAGAGAATGAATTGCGGGTCAAAGTTTTACTTGGAGGCTGCATTCCCCCATTGCTCAGCCTGCTCAAGTCAAACTCTGCAGATGGTCAAATTGCAGCAGCAAAGACCATATATGCTGTGTCCCAAGGTGGTGCTAAGGATCATGTTGGATCCAAAATCTTCTCAACCGAAGGAGTTGTGCCTGCACTGTGGGAACAATTAAAGAAAGGACTAAAGGCTGGAAGCACGGTGGATGACTTACTTACAGGAGCTTTGCGGAATCTTTCTAGCAGCACCGAAGGATTCTGGCGAGCTACAATTCAAGCTGGAGGAGTTGATATTCTGGTCAAATTACTTACAACAGGGCAATCAGGGACTCAAGCAAATGTATGTTTTCTATTGGCCTGCATGATGATGGAGGATGCATCAATATGTTCAAAAATCTTAGCTGCTGAGGCCACAAAACTACTTCTTAAGCTGCTCGGATCTGAAAATGAAGCTCCTGTAAGAGCTGAAGCTGCATCTGCTCTTAAATCACTTTCTGCTCAGTGCAAGGAAGCTAGGCGGGATATTGCCAACGCCAGTGGTATCCCTGTACTTATAAATGCTACAATAGCTCCTTCTAAAGAATTCATGCAGGGTGAGTTTGCTCAAGCCTTGCAAGAAAATGCGATGTGTGCTCTTGCTAATATATCTGGAGGCTTGTCATACGTCATCTCGAGCCTTGGTCAAAGCCTTGAGTCGTGCACCTCCCCTGCACAAGTAGCTGATACACTGGGAGCATTAGCTTCAGCGCTGATGATATATGATAGCAAAGCCGAAAATGCTCGGGCATCAGATCCCGTGGAGGTGGAGAAGACATTAGTAAAGCAATTCAAACCACGATCCTCTTTTCTGGTCCAGGAGCGTACAATAGAAGCACTTGCTAGTTTGTATGGAAATGGTATACTAGCAAGCAAACTTGCCGATTCTGATGCAAAGAGACTGCTTGTTGGTTTAATTACTATGGCGACAATGGAAGTTCAGGAGGAGTTGATAAAGTCCCTTCTTGTTCTCTGCAGAGATGAAGGTACTCTGTGGCAGGCCCTTCAAGGCCGAGAGGGTATTCAACTCCTGATATCTCTTCTTGGTCTTTCATCAGAGCAGCAGCAGGAATGTGCTGTTGCATTGCTTTGTCTTCTGTCCAATGAAAATGATGAGAGTAAATGGGCCATAACTGCTGCTGGCGGTATTCCTCCGCTTGTTCAGATTCTGGAGACGGGCTCTGCTAAAGCTAAAGAAGACTCTGCCACCATCCTCGGAAACCTTTGTAATCACAGCGAAGATATACGTGCGTGTGTCGAAAGTGCTGATGCTGTGCCGGCTTTACTTTGGCTGCTAAAGAATGGAAGCCCAAACGGGAAGGAGATTGCTGCTAAGACTTTAAACCATTTGATTCACAAGTCGGATACAGCAACAATCAGCCAGCTCACTGCATTACTGGTCAGTGATTTGCCCGAATCCAAAGTTTATGTCCTGGATGCATTGAAAAGTTTGCTCTGCGTAGCACCTCTGAGTGATCTAGTGCGCGAAGGTACTGCAGCAAATGATGCGATTGAGACAATGATTAAAATATTAAGTTCCACCAAGGAAGAGACTCAAGCGAAATCCGCACGAGCTCTTGCTGGGATCTTTGATCTCAGGAAGGACTTGCGTGAATCTAACATTGCTGTTAAGACCCTCTGGTCAGTCATGAAACTTTTGAATTTTGATTCCGAGAATATCTTAGTGGAAGCTTCTCGGTGCCTTGCTTCTATATTTCTCTCAGTTAAGGATAACCGTGATATAGCTTCCGTTGCTCGAGATGCTCTCCCTTTGCTTGTAGCACTTGCAAACTCCTCTGTGTTACAGGTGGCAGAGCAAGCTGTTTGTGCTCTGGCAAATCTCCTTTTAGACTATGAAGCCTCAGAAAATGCAATTTCAGAAGACATTATTGTACCAGCCACACGAGTTCTGCGTGAAGGATCACATGTTGGAAAAACACATGGAGCAGCAGCAATTGCTCGGCTTCTCCATTATCGTCAGATTGATTCAGCTTTGACAGAATGTGTTAACCGTAACGGAACAGTACTTGCTATAGTTTCTCTCCTTGAAGCTGCTGAAACTGGATCTGTTGCTATTTCAGAGGCATTAGATGCACTTGCTTCTCTCTCGAAGTCTGTAGAAGATATCGGGCAGATAAAATCTGCTTGGAGTGCTCTTGCAGAAAGCCCAAGTAGCATTACTCCTATAGTTTCAACTATTTCTGATGCCTCCCCAGCATTGCAGGATAGGGCTATAGAAATATTATCGCGGCTCACCCTAGCTCAGCCCATAACTCTTGGGAGCACAATTGCCTGTGCCAGTGGATGCGTTTCATCAATAGCAAGAAGGGTTATCAGTTCTGCCAATGCAATGGTTAAAATTGGAGGAGCTGCGCTACTTGTCTGCACATCAAAAGTCAATCATCAAAGCGTAGTTGAAGATTTAAACGTGTCTAATTTATGTGGTTCACTCATCCATTCTCTTGTTGGAATGTTCACTTATAAGGAGGATTCTCAAGTTTCTAATCTGGAAAACAAGGACATAATAAGCATCTCCAGAGTATTTGATGAGGACAATATAAAACATGACTTGGAGCGAAGTACATCAGTCATTAGTGATGCCAATATAGCTATCTGGCTTCTTTCTACCCTTTCTTGTCGTGATGACAAATATAAACACGATATCATGGAGGCTGGTGCAGTTGAAGTTCTTACTGACAGAATTTCTGAATCCTTTTCACAATACACTCAGGTATTTGGTTATACTTCGTTCTTTGCTTTGCACTACTTTAAAAAATAAAAACTTTATCGGTATTTACCTTCATTTTATGCTTTTAATTCACTCATGATGCCAGTTAATACTTGATTGAGACAGTTTGCTGTATATTCTTAAACAATTCTTGTTTTTTTGTTTTTTTTGGCAGGCTGAATATAAAGAGGATGGCAGTATATGGATCAGTGGCTTATTGTTAGCAATCTTATTTCAAGACAGAGATGTCATACGCTCAAATGCAACAATGAGAGCAATTTCCGTGCTCACCAGTTTGTTGCGGTCAGAGGAAGGAGCGAACAGATATTTTGCGGCCCAAGCCGTGGCTAGTCTTGTATGTAATGGTAGCAGGGGCACCCTCCTCTCTGTTGCGAATTCAGGCGTGGCAACAGGACTCATCTCCATGCTCGGCTGTGGTGATGATGACATGATTGACCTTTTGGAACTGGCTGAGGAGTTTTCATTGGTCCGTTATCCGGACCAAGTCGCACTCGAGCGACTATTCAGGGTCGACGACATCAGACTTGGCGCAGCTTCTAGGAAAGCTATACCAGCCCTCGTTGATTTGCTCAAACCTATCCCTGACAGGCCTGGGGCTCCATTTCTCGCTCTTGGACTTCTAACCCAACTCGCCACCGATTGCCCTTCCAATCAAATTGTCATGGTCGAGTCGGGGGCTTTGGAAGGTGTGACAAAGTACCTCTCTCTTGGGCCGCAGGATGCGTATGAAGAAGCCGCCACTGATTTACTCGGCATTATGTTTAGCACGGCCGAAATAAGGAGACACGAGGCTGCATTCGGTGCTGTCAGTCAGCTTGTTGCTGTTTTGCGCTTGGGCGGAAGGGCCGCGAGGTACAGTGCTGCGAAAGCTTTGGAGAATTTGTTCTCCGCTGATCACGTGAGGAACGCTGACTCAGCCAGGCAAGCCGTTCAGCCTCTGGTCGAGATCCTAAACACTGGTCTGGAGAAGGAGCAGCATGCCGCCATTGCTGCTCTTGTCAGGCTTCTCAACGAGAACCCATCGAGGGCCTTAGCAGTCGCCGATGTCGAAATGAATGCCGTTGATGTCCTCTGTCGAATCCTCTCTTCGAATTATTCCATGGAGCTCAAAGGGGACGCTGCTGAGCTGTGCTGCGTCCTTTTCAGCAACACGCGGATAAGATCCACTCTGGCGGCTGCTCGCTGTGTCGAGCCTCTTGTCTCTTTACTCGTCTCTGAATATAGCCCGGCCCACCACTCTGTGGTCCGGGCGCTTGACAAGCTTCTGGATGACGAACAGCTGGCAGAGCTCATTGCTGCCCACGGTGCAGTTATCCCGCTTGTCAGCCTTCTCTATGGCCGCAACTACTTGCTCCACGAGGCCGTCTCGAGGGCACTGGTGAAGCTTGGTAAGGACAGGCCTGCATGCAAGATGGAGATGGTGAAAGCAGGGGCCATTGACAGCGTGCTCGACATCCTTCACGAGGCGCCCGATTTCCTCTGTGCTGCATTCGCCGAGCTTCTCAGGATACTGACGAATAATGCGACCATCGCTAAGGGCTCATCGGCCGCCAAAGTAGTCGAGCCCCTCTTCCAGCTGCTGGCGAGGCCGGATTTCGTGCCCGACGGGCAGCACAGCACCTTGCAAGTCCTTGTTAACATTTTAGAGCACCCACAGTGCCGTGCGGACTACACCCTCACTTCCCACCAGGCCATCGAGCCCCTCCTCCCTCTGCTCGACTCGCCTGCTTCGGCAGTCCAGCAGCTGGCGGCCGAGCTCCTGTCCCACCTCCTCCTGGAAGAGAATCTCCAGCGGGACCCGCTGACTCAGCAGGTGATTGGCCCGTTGGTTCGGATTCTCGGCTCCGGGATTCCCATCCTGCAACAGCGGGCCGTGAGGGCGCTCGTCAACGTAGCCGTGATATGGCCGAACGAGATTGCGAAAGAGGGCGGTGTGAGCCAGCTGTCGAACGTCATACTCCAGGCCGACCCGTTGCTGCCGCATGCATTATGGGAGTCGGCCGCCTGCGTTCTCTCCAGTATTCTACAGTTCAGTTCCGAGTTTTACTTGGAAGTTCCTGTGGCTGTATTGGTCAGGCTGCTTCGCTCGGGATCTGAAGGCACCGTCATAGGAGCACTAAACGCGCTCCTCGTGCTTGAAAGCGACGACTCGACCAGTGCGGAGGCCATGGCTGAGAGCGGGGCAATCGAGGCCCTTCTGGACCTTCTACGGGCCCACCAGTCTGAGGAGACAGCCGCCAGGCTGCTGGAGGTGCTGCTGAACAACGTGAAGATTCGGGAGTCGAAGGTGACAAAATCGGCGATTTTGCCACTGTCCCAATACCTGCTGGATCCCCAGACGCAGGGCCAGCAGGCGAGGCTGCTGGCCACCCTCGCGCTAGGTGACCTGTTCCAGAATGAGGTGCTCGCACGGACTGCAGATGCAGTCTCGGCTTGCCGGGCACTGGTGAACCTGCTCGAGGATCAGCCCACGGAGGAGATGAAGGTCGTGGCCATTTGCGCGCTGCAGAATCTCGTGATGTACAGCAGATCGAACAAGAGGGCGGTGGCGGAGGCTGGTGGCGTGCAGGTTGTGCTTGATTTGATTGGGTCTAGTGATCCGGAAACTTCACTGCAGGCGGCTATGTTTATTAAGCTTCTTTTCTCGAACGCCACCATTCAGGAATATGCTTCGAGTGAGACCGTGAGAGCTATAACAGGTAAACATTCTCTTTTTTTCTTTTCCGATCGTGTGGAGGTCGATATTCTCATCTGATGCTGGTTATTCTTGGTCCTGATGAGAAATATGCTCGTTGATGTTCCTATCTTTTTACACGAACATTCTTGTGCTTCTTACCATCCTTGTTACTTTCTCCCTTCCCTTTCCTCTTCTCCTTTTTCTCAATCTCCTAGATTTTTCAATGTGTTGATATTGTCTTTGTTGAAGATAGAAAATTGTCTATGACTCTATCATAGTTCTTTCATATCCGTTCCTCCTTGGAAATTACTTTTACTCCAACATATAATTGATTGCTCATGAAAATTCAGTAGTAATTCACTATTCACCCTCTTTTATTCTCTTCTTCACCACAACAAAACCGTCATATTAATTAGTTTATCATTTTTACAAATTTTTGTCAAAAATTCCCTTACTTACGTTTCCAATGTCTGGTCATTATTTCGTTGTGTCTACATCTGGTCAGCATTATTTCGTTGAAATTTATCGTTTTATTTGCCAACGGTACGAAATAAAAAAAATAAAATAAAAAAAAAAAACCAATCACAATGGAAGTATGTCTTGAGGTTTATGCATCTGTTTAGGAAGTTATCTCAATCTCCCTTAAAAAGTTCAACAATTTTTTTAACTCCAACATCAGTTTGCTCGGCATGAGAATGCATTTCCTTCCTCCACATCATACCTGCCGATAGATGCAGTCTTCAGTTCTTCAAAATCCACTGCATCTAGATTTTATCTAAATTATTATGTCCTCAAATAATCTTATTACACTGTTGCTTCTGCAGCTGCAATCGAGAAAGACTTATGGGCTTCCGGCTCCGTAAGTGAAGAGTATCTAAAGGCTCTAAATGCATTATTCGGCAACTTTCCCCGTCTTAGGGCCACTGAGCCCGCAACTCTAAGTATTCCTCATTTAGTCAGCTCTCTCAAGACTGGATCAGAGGCCACTCAAGAAGCTGCCCTGGATGCACTATTCCTTCTCAGGCAGGCTTGGTCCGCATGTCCAGCTGAAGTTTCTCGGGCCCAATCCATTGCTGCTGCTGATGCAATACCTCTTCTACAGTACTTGATCCAATCAGGCCCACCACGTTTTCAGGAGAAAGCCGAGTTTTTATTGCAGTGTCTTCCAGGGACACTCGTGGTGATTATAAAGCGAGGTAACAATATGAAGCAATCTGTGGGGAATCCGAGTGTGTACTGCAAGCTGACTCTTGGAAATACCACTCCTTGTCAAACCAAGGTATAAAATTGATTTTTTAAATTTTAATTTATTCCTCTCTCTCGTATGAGTCATTCCATGCTACCTGCTTATCCCTTGTTCTGTCTCATCACAAATACCTTCTTACACACACACACACACACGTATATATATGTATGTATATTTATCAGTGTTACTTTCTTGAAGTTTTTGTGTTTGTGATTGACTATTGCCATTCGGCATTAGTTACTTTCCCTTGAAAAGCTAGCCTGTCAAATGAATTATGAATTCTGAGAATGGTTTTTATATTATTATGCAGTGTTTCTCAGTTAAGTTGTAGATAATTATTATTAGTTATTACCTGGTAGTTGGATTCTTTCTAACCGCCCTTCCATTTAGTTGGCGATAGGCGTTATTTTCACTCTAATGAATCTGAATCACTTCAAATGTCATTTTGTTTCCAGGTTGTTTCAACGGGTCCTAATCCTGAGTGGGATGAGAGTTTCTCTTGGTCCTTTGAAAGTCCTCCGAAAGGCCAGAAGCTTCACATTTCATGCAAAAACAAGAGCAAGATGGGGAAGGTAACCTTGTCTGACATCATGAGACGAGTGATTACAGAAAAAATATAAATATCATTCTTGAAACTTCTTCGTAAAAAATGTTTTATAAAAAAAAAAAAGAAAAGGAAAAAGGAAAGAGACCTTTGAAATTATAAGTTACTCATTGCTAGCGTCTCTACTTTGCTGGCTGCACCACCTATTGAGGGATACTTTTAATATCGGAAAACACTTAAGAGTTCTTGATTAGGCTGAACTCTAGGGGCAGCATTCGTATTGTGAAATTATTGTATTCTAATCACTTTCGTGCACTGATGGCAGAGCTCGTTTGGGAAAGTGACTATCCAAATCGACCGCGTGGTGATGTTAGGTGCTGTTGCTGGTGAGTACACGCTATTGCCGGAAAGCAAAAGTGGTCCCTCCAGGAATTTGGAAATAGAATTCCAGTGGTCTAACAAGTAGCAGCCATGCTATAGGTACCTGAGAAATTTCACTTCGTGAAGTGATTTGTCGACCGATTTTTTTTTTTTTTTTTTTTTTTTTTTTTTTTTTTTTNTGTGTGTAGATTTTTGGTCTTATATTTCTTTTGGTTGTATTTATCGTGCTACTGCTGTATGTAGTTTTTCTTTTGGCCGGTATGTATTCTTTTGTAACTTGAGTTTGATTCTGATTTTCTGCCTTTGTTTTGTTTGTTGATTTGGTGCTAGGCATGAGAGACCCTTTTGAATTTGAGAGTGAAGCAAAAAGGGCAAAGCTGTAGACATGGTTTTTTGTTGTTCTGTGTTTTCTGGAAATGACATGGAGTTATTGTAAGTAGTGTCTTTGTAATGATGTTTGTATGTTTATGAAAAAAAATTGGAGATGGATAATGAGTTGAAAGACTTTACAAATAGCAAATATATATTTTTATTGTTTATTTTTTCAATTTACTTGTTGCTGCTGCTGCATTTCTGCACCATAATTAGCAGCAGTATTTTTTAACTTATATATTTTTTAGCATCAAACATAATATTTTGGTGGTTGCTTGCTTCATCTTGTTTCAAGGCAAGATGATTTGAAGTGTGTTGTTTAATTTAGAAAAGAATTGCAAAAAATTATATTTATTTAATTATATTTTTCATATGCATTAGTCATTCATTATATATGTAAAAATCAAGACATACAAATAAATTTGACAACTAGCTAGCTAAGTCCATCAAAGTCAAGTTGAATACATTTAGCTGCTTTGGGATCAATTTAATGAATCTTGTTTGCCCTTTTCAATATTTTATTTTGCTATGCATATGGTTTTTCTTATTTTATTTTATTTTTCTTACATTTTTTCAATTTAAACGGCTGGCATAGTATATAGACTAACAATCATTCACACTTTTGAATAAGTATATGTTAGTGATCTCAAAAAGGGAGTCTTACAAAAAGTCCAAGATTCGCTCAGCTAAGTTCTGATAAGGCTTTGAAGTTTGAACACAAATGTGCTGAAAAATATCTGTCAATTTTATTCTAAGTAATCTTATTAAATCCCAACAATAGAATTTATTTATTTATTTTTTCCTATAGGAACATAATACTATTAAACACATTTATATTCAATACTTTTAGTATCATATTTTCTTGTGGAGTACTTGACATGGCGTGTTTGTACTTTAATGTTGTATTTTTATGTTATTTATTTTATTCATTTAAAAATTTAAATTCAAGGACAAAACTTAACTAACATTTTTATTTCACATTTTATGTGTCGTATTACAGATCATGCCTTGTCGTATCTATCGTTCCATATATCTCTGTTATCATATTTTCTAATGTATCTTATGACTCTTATCATGATGTATTTTATCTCCGTGTCAGTCATTGTCATCCTAGTAAAAAAAATTTATCTACATTATTTACAATCAATGTTTAAAAAGTTGCTAGGTGCTCGTTAGATCTAGGCGGGACCGTAGAACGTTAATAAATTTATTTATATTTATCATCATGCATAATTTATAAGATAATTTGTGTAAAATATATTAGTTAATAATGTCAAATACAAGAAAATATAAAAAAAATATAATAATTATTGTATTAGTCATTGTCAGTCTAGATATGACTAATTTCGCGATTATTAGACAATGTAAACGTTGTTTAATCGTTGAAAAGTCTAAAAATGATCGTCTATGCAAAAATTATGGCGTCCGAGTGCCGTCTAGACGGACTCCTAAGTGGATTTTTATCTCATATCATATCTAATTGTTTATTTTTATATTTTTTTCTAGATAAACTGTTACCATCTCTCATCCTTAAAAGATGCAACTCCAGTCGTAGTTCCTTGAAAATTGAATTCTCCAAAGGAAAATAAGCAATAGATTAGACGCGTGTTACTTCATAATGAACCTGTGGGGTTCAAAACAAGAAATTAACCTCACAGGTGGGGTCGATTGCAATTTATACTTTCTTGTTAATGCATAATGCATGTCTTGATTTCAATACAATTATGTCAACAATAAAGCAGCATCTTAAATCTTTAAATATCTTCTTTTCCTTTTTTCCCTTTCATAAACATTTTGGGACAGATCAACAAAAGTTGAGTGTTCCACTTAAAATCAAACTTTTGATTTATAAACTTTGTGCTTTAAATCATGAAACTTACCAGCACGAGAAGTCTAACATGTTGGTATATTCCTAGATGATTTTATAAGATTTTATGACAAATTCTGGTGTAAGAAAATTTAACAGATAAATAGATTGATGCTACATAAAAAGAATAATAAATGAAGACCAAAAAAGAATAATAAATGATCGAAGAACAAAAAATAGTAGATTAGGGAAAAGAAATGATTAAAAGATATGTAGTAGAGAAAAATTATAAACTATGATTTGCTGATTGGTTGTTGATGAAGGCTGTTAATGCAGTGTAATTTTACTTCTAAGTGAGATTTCATTTATGTGGTTTTAGATTGTCTAATAATGATTTTCCCTGTTTTATTATACATTTTTGGATCTATGATAACGAAACATAGACCCTACATGTGGCTTGTAGACAAGGATTGACTGCATATTAAAAAAGATTCAAATTGCGTACAAATTTTTATTAAATTTAAAATTATTATATCAAAACACTTAAAATTATTAAATTTATTATGTTGACCGTCAAAATCAACATAAATGGGGCACAAATGAGATATGAGATAAACAATTGCATTTCTATGGGATATTAATTTTGTTATTTTGCTTCGTTGATATATAGATTTTTGTTTATTTATTTTTTGGATGAATTGCTAAGACTGGATATATTTTTTTTCTTAAAAGAAATCACTATTCATATAATCTAATTTTTTCATCTCAATATTACCAGTACGATTAAATATTAAAAATTAATTACTACTTAATATTCTTCAATAAAATTCATGGTTTATCCAATTATATATTTTGATCTATCAACCATTTATATCCATCATTTTAAAATTTTCTACCACGTATATTTTAATCAATACATTTTATCTCATTCTCATTCACAATCTCAAAAGTATAGTGTTCTATTTTTGTCGTATCGATTTCACAAGTCTCATCATTTATAGCAAGAACTTGAACATATATATTGTGTACTATATTTTCTTACATTGCATGCATTAAAAGGTTTATAGAATTATTTATATATTTATTTTAAATCCAGGTGAAGTTTGTGGTAGGAGATTAATTAAGTGTGATTAGTTTTCAAATTATAATAAATTTATACCTTGTAGATTTTCTAAGACAGGTTCACAAGCATAAATATGTGAGTGTATATAGCTCATGTTAAATGTTTTTTCTTTTTTATTTTTATTTTTTTTCTTGTTTTCTTTTGTGTAATTGGTTCTTCCACTCGGTGTCACTGAGTGATAGAATTTTGTTTTATTCGAATTATTTGACACAAATAAATAAAAAAGGATGTATGTTCTCCTACATTTATATATATATTCAGCCTAATTTTTAATTCATAAAACAGTAATATATAACTGGAAGGTCTATTTGCTTTAATTTGTGGCATAATAAATTAAGCCGTGAATCTTGATTTTATAAAGGTGAGGAAAAATAACGAACTATTCATATGAACAAAATTAATTCAACTTGTTATATTCATAAGTCAACCTAAAAAAATGTATACTTATATTATGAAATATCATATTTTTTGTTTACGTTATTATATATATCTATATAATGGTTAACAAAGCAATTAATAAAACCTCTTATCATTTTCCCACTCAAAACCATTACAATGTTTTTTTACTTTTTTTTTATTTAATAAAAAACCGTTACATTGTTGTTTCACCTTTTTTTTAACTACAATATTAAAAAGCTCACTGATTCAATTAATTTGATTGGTAATCATTGATATCTATCAATATATTACTGATAGGAGAAAAATTAGTAAAATTATTTGGGTTTCTCATCTGTTTTCGCTACACTTCAATAATATTTTTTGTATTTATTATTTTTATAAAATCCATAACTGAAATCTAAGTAATGACTTTTTTATGATAATAATTAATTAAAGTGTAATCATATTTTTTTTAATTATTCTATTATATAATAGTTATTACTATAACTAATCAAAAGATATATGGAAGTTCAATAAGTATAAAAATTATATTGCAAAATATTTTATTAAACTATTCTTCTGCTTCTCATTGTGCATTTGTTTAACAACCTAATTGGCTTTATTGGTGTAAACAAACCTCTCAAAATTGCATAAATAATGACAATAATAATAATAATATAACAATAATAATAATTTTTAAGATAAATAATAGGTCATGATTCTTCAAATTTATAAAAACTATATTACTCATTCCATTTTATCCAATCAATATAGTGATGAAGTTGAATAATTTTATAATGTTCAATTTTACTAATGAAAAAAAAAAATTAAATGTGTATCTAATTTATAATATTAATATTGTATGCATACAAATTATAATAATTAAAGCACATGTGCATGTGCATAAGATCTAATACTAGTTCAAATTATGAATCAAACTTTAACAATTAGTTCATATTGTTATATTCATGTTCATAAATCATAACTAAATCAAACATAAACGCTACACAAGATTATTATGTGAGATGACTTAACCGTTCAACTAGTCCATTCGTCATACGTCCGTAACGAAAATGTATATTTATATTGTGAAAAATTATATTTTTATTTATATTATTTTCTAAAATATGTCAATTTTAGTTAATAAATACGTATATTTGTAAAATAAATATAATAACATAATATACCAAAATGTTATTATTTGTTTAATCTGTATTTTTTTTAGAGTTCTAAATGGAATATTCTGACAAATCCCCTCTATATATAATTTCAGAATGCGCTGAGCCTACATGGCAAAAAATCATGCTTTGGAGTTATGCTTGGATAAAAATTAATATTTGTATTAATTGTATTTTAATATCATTTTCTATTATAACCATTGAATTGCAAATATATTTTAAAAGTTGATAACTTTTGTATTTCTTATCGGTTTTACATATATAATATATCAAATTAATCATCTTTTGATGAGCTTCGATTTGACATCCATATTATATATATAAAATAAATAAATTATATTTATCTTTATAATAATAATAAAATTATTTTTTAAAATTAGTTAGAAAATAAAATTATTTATCAATTAATATATTTATGTTTAATGTAGTTATATGTTATAAGGTAGAAAATTTATTATAATATAACACATATAAGTCGCACAAGTAACATGTGTCATACTAAAATATATAATAATATATACTCTCTCCTATTTTTATTATTTGTCGCTTTGGCTTAATTGATCATTGATAAAATAAATGTCGTTTTAGATATTTTGTTCATATTTTTCCATTTGTAACCCTCCATCTAATAACAGTGTCTCTTCATATCTCATATCTATCGTTTCCCATAACATCCATTAAATATATGGTTAATATTGTCAAGAAAAAAAATCTTAATTAGTGTGTTGTATTTGAATTGATATTATGAAGTCCGTTTGTATTTTACTATTTATTTATATATATATATATGAAATACTTTTATCTATGAATTAGGCATATTAGTAATATATTACTAATAAGGATATAAAATACTTTTATCTATGAATAGATACAAAACAGTAATATATATCCTTATAGATAAAATTTGAATTTATTTATCAAACTACTAAATTATATCAAATAAACTATAAATTATATTATAAAGTAATAGAAATTAGTATGTATTTGATTAAAAATGATATTTATTTCAAATCTAATTGATATGTTGTCAATGTAATAAAAATAAATAATTATTATATAAATTCTAAAATTACATATAAAGTTAAAAAACTGTGACTTATACGACACTTGATGTATTAGGCATCTAATTAAGTAAAAAAAATTAATATATTTTGTTTAATATTAAATAAACATATTCTACACTTATGCATATACATATCACCATAATATTTCTATTTACTTAAGATATATATTTTTTTTACTTATAATAGTAAATAATATCGATAATTTCATATGATATAAGTAAAAAAATTCAACACGGGTTGACATTTTCATTTAATGTACGGGTGTTTAATTATTATGATTAAAAAATATATTTGACAATTTAATTAAAATTTAAAGTAATGTTTTATATAAAATTAAATTATTTTAGTTTTAAAAAAAATAAAAAATTAAATATTTTTTACAAAAGCTTTCTAATTCAACACTCGTGTAATACACGAGTATTGTATTAGTGATAATAATAATAATAATAATAATAATAATAATAATAATAATAATAAGTTGAGTACGGGTGTAATACACGGGTATTGGGGCCGTTTTTAGTGTTATTGTNGGGTAGAAAAGTTACCTTTATTTTTCCCCTTTTTCCTGTGCGTCTAATTTGTGCTGCTCAGTGTATTAATCTCTGTGACCTGTGTCGTCTTCTTCACTCCCTCCATTCGCCACGAAACCCACCCTCACCTACTTTCTCTCTCCGTCGTCTTCCGCCCAATTTAGCCCAATTCTCTCCTACATCTACCCTGCCACCCTCTACACCACAGCCATTCACTCCGCCTCTTTTCAGCCGCACACGCGTCGGCGAACAACTACAGTACGCGTACATTTGTCCGGCACAATACGTGCACGCGCTGACAGACTTCCTCTGGGGGCGCTCGAGTCCTGGTTTCCTCTGATCTCGTCCCGTCTATGGAGATTCGGTTAATTCTGCTTTTGTTCTCGCTAATTGCGTGCGGATTAGCGGAGCCAATAGTGTATTCCGCGAGGCTGGTGCACAGATTCTCGGACGAAGCGAAGGCGCACGCCGGAGTTAGGGTTTCGAAGAATGGAGCTGGAACAGGTGGCGGTCCGTGGCCGCAGCGACGGAGTTTGGAGTATTACCGGCGGCTGTTGAGCAGCGATGTCCAGCGGCAGACGCTTAAGCTGAACCCTCAGTATCAATTTCTCTATCCGTCCGCGGGCAGCGGCACATTGCCTCTGGGGAATGACTTTGGATGGTCATTCTCTCTCTCTCTCTCACACACACAAACACACTTTATTTCTGTAGTTATGTTTTGTGTTTTTGGTCATACTCTCTCTCTCTCTCTCACACACACATATCGGCATTTGCTTTATTCATGTAAATTATGTTTTGTGTTTGAGATGGAAGTCGGATTAGCATTCTTCTTTCTCTTCGTTTATTAATTCAATTTTCTGTCAACATTTTTATTTGGCGGAAAATTATACTCCTACATGTCATGGAGATTTGATTACAGTAAAATAGAGAAAAAATTAATTCTTGTTGATGAAGTTGCTGTATTTACTCTATGAAATTGTTCAAGTTAATTAATCCACAATTTTAATTCGTCTTTCACCATACATACTGTTCATTGTTAAGGATTCTGGCACTTACTTTTTGATTGTTACTCCAACAGGCTAAATTATATGTGGATTGCCTTAGGCACACCCAAAGTCTCATTTCTTGTGGCGTTAGATACTGGAAGTGATCTATCTTGGGTTCCCTGTGATTGTGTTCAATGCGCACCATTGTCCTCTAGCTACTATGGCAGTCTGGTATGCAGGCATTTTCTTTTTTTTTTTATTATGATCATTGCTTCGGATAGGTTTTCTTCAAAAATGAATGAAAAGTAAGATAGAATGAAAGTGCAACCGCTATCCTAGAAAATTTTGAGCAGCGATTTCGTGCTGCCTACAAAACCTGTGTGCAGGAAATCTGCTCATTTTTTGTTTGTTTTAGGCCTTCCCGTAGTAACTCAACCAACTTTGATGGTGTTTTATCATAGTTGTTTCTAGCCATTCATGATTGATAAGAACACGGCATATAAGGAAGGTAGGTTTATCATGCCATTACAGAATATAAGGAAGGTAGGTTTAAAATGATGATTTGCTATGCAATCAATATTGTGCTCTGGTGTACCCACTTTCTGTGTTTTTATTTATTGTGTACAACCTACCTCATGTGGCTGGTAATTTATTATCCTGTATCTTTTGCAGTCTTTAAAGTGTTCTAAACATTGGCAAACAGAGTGTATTTGTTCATGTAGAATGGAGAATAAACAATATATTCAGCATCTGGTGAAACAACTACTGAAAGTTTTTGTTTTAATCTATTATATAGAAACCCTGTTCATGTGCTACTACTTCATATCTGATGTTTCCGTCGAAGTATTTGTGTGTGTGTCACTGTCTCTATTTCTCTTTTTCGTCCTCTCTTTCTGTTTTCTTGTGTTATGGGAACTTGAATGGTCTGTTTATTGGGCCACCTTTGTTAATATGGATCTTCCTTTTAATGTTCTCATGTTAATCTTGTTCTACTAGCCATCTCACTCACTAAGACATGCATTCTTAAAGGTTTATAGATGTCGAGTTTCAGTAATTTTTGTCCGATAAATGATCTATATCTGACCAATCAGACGTACCAGAGTTTTAGGAGTTTAAGCCGACTATATATCTTTTTGTCCTATCTTGTTCCTGCTTTTCAGCTGAAGTATGATGGAAGAGCTTCTTATACCTTGATTGGTATTTAAGTTTGTGTCCATTGATTCTAGTGTTCTAATAACTTAAATAAACCATAAAACCAAACATTTGATTGTTTCTCTCTAATTTCATGAAACTCTTACTCGATTGTGTTACCTTGGTGGAACCTGTGCAAATTGGAACTTTGTTAACAAACTTTAGCTTCAATTTCTAATTCGATGGGCCTATGCTTGTACAAAGACTCTTCAAACTAATTTTTCTACATATATATTTCTATTCTGTTCATTGAGTTTTTGAAGTTCAGATACTTGGATTTCCTTATCTTTCTATTGTGGAAGATACTTGATTTGCAATAGGATCTACATGTTAGTATATATGATGACCTTATCTCGAAATTGGACATATTTTACCTTGTGCTTCATATTTGTTTCTTTCTTTCTTTTTTTTTTTTCTTCTTTTCAATCTTGGTCATTCAAATCTTTAAATATTTCAATAAGTGGGTAACATGTATATTTCACGATTCGTACACTGGATTTGCTTGGAGCAGAAGCCTTTGTTGGTAACCTAAGCTTCAGGGTCTACTGATTCCTGAAACATGCATTTATTTGATGAGGATCGTATGGGTTACTAGGCAATCACTTTAATATCTGGTTTATATATATATATATATTATATCAGAAAATTATGCACTTGCAAAAGAGTTGTGTTGTAGTAAGTTAGCTAAATGTTTTATCACTTATTGCAAATGATTGATTGGCAGGTGCTCCCTCGTTTTTGGGGCATCTATTATGCAGGATCAAGATCTTAACGAGTACAATCCTTCTAGCTCCAGCACCAGCAAAACTCTCTCCTGCAGTCATCACTTGTGTAATATGGGCCCTGAATGTCTGAATCCTAAGCAGCAATGTTCATATACGGTCAACTATTATTCAGATGATACCTCAACTTCTGGATTCCTGGTTCAAGATGTTCTTCATCTTCTTCCCGGCCATTCTGATGGGTTGAACAAATCTGTAAGAGCTCCAGTCGTTATTGGGTATGTTTTGATTCACTCATATTTAGATTTATCCAAATATTTTCAACTTCCTATCATGATACTTTATGTTCTTCTGTTCTAGGTGTGGTAGTAAACAAACTGGTGGCTACCTGAGTGGAGTTGCACCTGACGGTCTATTGGGTCTGGGACTCGGAGAAATTTCTGTCCCAAGTTTTCTTGCCAAAGCAGGATATATTAAGAACTCATTTTCTTTGTGTTTTAATGAAGATGATTCTGGGAGGCTTTTATTTGGGGACCAGGGAGTAGCTGGCCAAGAAACTACTCCATTTTTGCCATTTAATGGGAAAAAGTAAACATTATGGTCTAACTGTAACTGTTTAATTTATATTTGGTGTGTGCATTAACGGAAGTTTGGTCAAATAATGCTGCAGTTCAACTTATATTGTTGGAGTGGATGCATGCTGCATTGGGAGTACATGTCTTAACGAGACGAATGTCGAAATGCTTGTTGATAGTGGAACGTCGTTTACATTTCTTCCAGATCAAATCTACCAAAGAGTGGTTGAGGAGGTTTCCAATTTTCCCTTATCTTTCTTTGTTTTTAGCTGGGTATCTGCTGTAAAAGTGAGATTGTGCTGAGTCATTGTTTTTGTCATAGCTTGACAAACAAGTTAATGCTTCAAAATCTACCTTCAAAGGCTACCCATGGCAATATTGCTACAAGTCGAGGTATGTACTTGGATTGATTGTGCATGTGATGTTGAAATAATTTATATTTTGTACAACTGATATTTTTATTTCAACAGTTCTCTTGAGGTGTCAAAGGTTGTTCCTTCATTCACTCTCAAGTTTGCATCAGCTAAAGGTTTTGTCATCAAGAATCCTGTTTTTGATATTTACGGAACTCAGGTTATTAATTTCACCCGTATTTGTTTTGCCTTAGTGTCACTAATTATGACATCTTGTTTATGGTGTGATTTGTGATGATACTCTATACGCATTTGCTTCTAACTAATTTTCTCAGAGTGTACTTTTTGATATTCAATATTAAACATCAGTATACTTTTTTTGGTGTTTTGGTTACGGCACTTGTGGGATGATCTTATGATGTGCAGTAGTAATCTGAAAAGACAAAACTAATCAATATAAGAAAACGAAAGTTCTTTTTGTTCTTCCTTTCACATTTTTTATTATTTGAGTTCTAATTTACAAAACCAATGATACTGTAATAAACAGCATAAAATGGATTTCCAGGCTGAGTAAATCGAATATCAGATAAAAAGATAATGTAACAAAGAGACCATTCTAAATTGCTTTTCAACATAATTTCTCTTGTTGGGTTGCAAAAGTTTGGACAGGTATAATGTAATAGTCTGTACTATTTGTACAATCACTTATTTGAAATGCCCATAAGGATGACATCCCTGCGATTTTGTAATATTTAATTGCATTCATAGTTAGTTTTCTTAATAGTCATTGACAATCACGTTCTATCAATGACTCAAATTGTACAAGATGATGTACCAATGTGAGATAAAAGTAAAATGGTCAAGGAATTATCTTGGAATGATTTATGGTGTTGAACACCTTATCAATATGCTTAATGATTACAAAGCTTTGAGGTAGCTTAATGTTAATTGTAAGAATTATTAAAACATTTTTGCAGATACTTAATCTTGTCATCGATCATGGTACTTTTTGCATTTTATACTCGAACTATGATACCTGAAATATTAAAAAAAAAAAAAAAATCATCTGAATGGTTTTTTTTTCCTCTGTATAGGGTGCAGTTGGATTTTGTTTAGCAATACAACCAACAACAGAGATCGTTGGGACTATTGGACGTAAGACCCTATTAGCATTCAGTTGAAGTTCTTAATTTCACACAAGTAGTCACATGGCTTGCACACATCTTTTTATAACAGATAGCCTCTGAGCTGGTGGAAATCCCTATTCGTTTATCTTACTCAAATAATTCACTCTTGCAGAGAACTTCATGGCAGGGTATCAGATTGTATTTGATAGGGAAAATTTAAGGCTTGGCTGGTCCCATTCAAATTGTGAGTATCTGAGGCCTTTGCAAATATCTGAGAAATTGTACTTGATAAGTTTGAAATGTTGTGATTTGAATGGTTTGCTTTAGGATTTTATCTTATGCTGATGAATCCATACCCAATGAACACTTTCCCAACATGCATCATTGCGATTTTGCTAATATTATACATCGAAAAATTTAATAACCTGTGTTAACATTATGTTTTTCTCTCTTTCTGTTTCTTTTAGAGCACAAATTCCCAGGGAGGAGTAGGTGAAAATTGAACACGGGACACCTATTTTGGTCTTAAACTATCTGCTTTCCATTTAGTTCTCGTTACATCACATATGGTAGACTTCTTAGAATTATTGTTTTTTTTTTAAAAAAAATTGAATCCAATCAATCTGTGCTTTCTGGATATAAAATAACTTGACATGCTTTTCTTAATAACATATATCTATTTTAAAAATGGGAAAGATATATACAAACCATTTGTCATATTCGTCTTTAACCCCCTCTATTATTATTTTTGTCCAACCTAACCTCCTAAAATGTTGAAAAAATTCTATAGTGCCATACATCCATGATCCACCCCCTGTTGAATATTTTTTTTTTGTTGAATATTTTACCTTTTTCTTCATTTTATCTGGTGGTAATAATATTTGATTTTCTTTTGACGAACATGATTATCCTAAAAAAAATTTCAGGCCACGATCTGAATAATGGGGTGCCACTAAATGCATCAAGTAGCAGCAACTCTCCTAATTCATTGCCTTCAACCGAACAACAGAGTGGGCCTAACGGTCACGCGGTTTCGCCTGCAGTTGCCGAGAGGACACCGTCCACTTCCTCAATCACATGCCCCTCGTTTTTGGTGAACTTCTTCCTGTTGCTTTTCATAAATATATTGCCTTTTGAAGTTTTCGTGTAAATTCTTATTTCTAGTATCCTAGTCTTGGCATTATTTTTTATTGCTTTGATTTTTTTTTTTTCTCATTGCATCTTTACCATCCCACCTTCCATTTTTAGGTCTGAGTTAGGATGGGAGTGTTTCCATGTAGTCCATCTATTGCCCTTTTGCTTTCATCCTTTACTACTATAATGTATTTGTTGTTATCGTAAACTTAACCTTTTCTCTAGGGATGTATGTAACTCCTTAGCTTAGGTTGTGTAGTATATTAACCATCTCGATGTTTGTGTATCCTGTTTCTAGTCTGTTTATGATTTACTTACCTCTTTGATTTGTAACTTGCGATTTTCGCCAGCCTTTCCAGTTCTTGTTGATATCATCTAACCCACAAGCTGTGGTCTGAGTTTTATATTTTCAATGGTCTAGAAATCTTTTCACTTTAACGGGCGCCTTTTGTTTTTCTCATTTCATATCGAACAACCATGGAGAATAGTAGCTGGGGACACACAGTGCATTTTTTATTTTTCTATTTTTTCTGCTCTTGCAGGTGCTCTTTTAATAATTCAATTTGCAGATGATTTAAGTATATATGTGTGTGTGTGTGTGTGTTAGTCCAAAATGACAGCCTGGGTTTTGAATTATTTTCCTGATACTGTAGAGCAGTAGGTTGAGACTTTGAAAATGCCAGATTTAATTATCAACAATGATGGAATTGAACGTCCAATCCTCGCAGTTTGTTTTTTGTTTTTGTTTTTGTTTTTTCCTCTGATGGCGACTTCCAGTTTACCAAAATTTTCAATGTGCTTAGTTTTGTTACATAGTTCCACTTGTTATTTATAGCTGTAACTAATATGTATATGCGTAAGTTATAATGGTGGATGGTCTTGCAAAATCATTCATCCATCATTTCGAGGACTTACGCAGGAATTGAGATAAGCAAAATCGAGTTGAATAAGAAAAAAAAAAAGAAAAAAAAAACTAAGCCAAACTGTGCAATTCTGTGTGATTTGATGCGGTCTGGTTTGTTCTTTTGTGAAAATTATTTGGTTCAATTTAGGTTTGATTTTTTAACTACACTGCGATTCAGTTATTATTTTCAACATGATTGGTTTTTGGTTTTTTAGGTTTGGTTTTATGCCGAATTGCGCCATATTGAATATTGATGTCTCTAAAAATCGATGTAAAACCAAAAAAATTTGAGTTGGACAATGCATTTTGGCAAGGTTCAGTTCGATTATATGAATATTTCAAGACTTTTAAAAGTCTTAAAAAGTCTAAATTAAAAATACTAGATTTTCTAAAGTTTTAAAAGTCTTGAAAAATCTTAAACGAATACACCCCATATTTGGGATCCATTCTAGAAAAAATAATGGTAACATAGATAAGGATGTAGCACATAAAATTCAATTGGATTGAAATAAGTGGAGGAACTCGTCGTCGATACTTTGTGATTGTAAAGTACAAGCGAGTTTGAAAGGCAAATTCTTTTGAACAGTCATTTGACTGACGATGTTTTATGGATCTGAGTGTTGGACTACTAAATATAAAAATGAGTAAAAAATGCGAGTGACAGATATGAGAATGTTGAGATGGATGTGTGTGCATACTAGGTTAGATAAGACTAAAAGTAAAAGTGTTATAAATGAAGTTAGAGTAACGTCCATAGAGGAGAAAATAAGAGAATCACGATTAAGATGGTTTGAACATGTGCGTGAAAGAGACTTCAAAGCTTCATTGATAAGAGTAGAAACATTAGAATTAAAAACGTAAATTAAAAGAGGAATGGGTAGTCTTAAGAAAACTTGGAAGTAAAAAAAATAATAATAATAATTTAAAATATTTAAAATTGAATGAGGATATGTATTTGATTAAACAAGATGGTGACATATGATTCATATAGCGGATCTCACTTAGTGGGATTTTAACGGCTTCTTCTTCTTGTTATTGTTGTTGAACCATTGGATAGGATAACAATTTTAGTATTGGTTTTTTTCACAATTGGGCACTTAATCAATTTAATTATATATCTATCATTATATAAAAAAAATAACTTTTTTACAAATTTAGAAACTTTTTCCGCCAAAATCATTAAATATATCCTAATATAGTAATTGTTGGACAAATCTGAATAGTTGTTGGACAAATCTGAATAGGCATTTTTTTTAATTTATCAAAACCGTTGTTTGACAATAAATATTTATTTTTCTTTTTCCTATTTTTAGTATAAATCTACAAGCTTATCTCTTCTGTTACAAAATCCCATTGCATACGATCTCACGTGTTTAAAAAATCTCATCCCTTATCTATAGAGATTTAAAAAAATAAAATAAAATAGAAACTAAATTATAATTACTACTAGAAATCCATTATTTTTAAAAGAAAAAAATAAAATAAAATAGAAACTAATTCATAATTACTACTAGAAATCTATTATCTACTTTTAAGAAACTAATTCTAATTACTAATTTTTTACAAATATTATAAGCTAATCGGTCTAATTACTAATATTTTTACAAATATTATAAGCTAACCATACAAAAAAGTATAATAATAATTTTGAAATGGTGTGTAATCAAATTTTTTTATATTCTCTTATACAAAATAATTTTACATTGTTTGACCCCGAATCTATAATTTATAATTATTAAGTATTGTTTATCCTCCTCTTTAATTTATAATTATTTTTTGTGCTTCTTCTTTTTAAATAAGAACAATAGTTTCCACTTCCGTCATTGAGTGACTCAAACTCGAGGTCTATTTATAATATTATTAATTTAATATTATTTCCGTGCATCCAACGGGGTATACACTAGTTTTATAACTTAAAACATAAAAACTTATCTATTGTTGCCCTAATTTGCACTTTTCACTCTCAGTCTCTCAATCGCCTCCCTCTCGTCTCTCAACTCTCAACTCTCAACTCTCAGTCTCTCACTCTCAACTCTCGTCTCCCGCAGTTCACTCTCAAGTTCACCACCGGTCTTCCGGCGCTCTCAACCGCGCTCACCCACCGGCTCTCTCAACCACGATCTCCGTCTCTCACCCCACGGCCGTTCGACGTTCGCTCGTCAATTTAGGTATCGCACTCTCTCAGTCTATTTATTTTCTTTTCTCATTTCGTCGTCTTTTATCAATCTTTGTTGAGGGTATTGCCGTATTGGATCCGAAAATCAATCATCTGGTCTGAAAATCTTCAAATCTTGAAACAATTAATTTTTTTCCCTAATTTTAGCCCTAATTTTGATATATATGTATTTGTATATATTCTATACATATCATACCTCCTTTTATAGTCTAAAAACCCAGAAAGAAGAAAAAGCAAAACACGCACAAACACGCACTCAAGAATCTTGGCTAGCCTTCTCCCTTTTTCTCCACGATAAGTTTCGTGAGTTTTTTTTTTTGTTAGTTTTTGTTTGCAATCGTGTTATCATGAAATGAAGGTAGCAAAATTATGCAGATCTGGTTTCTGTTTGTGAAAACTCGAAATATCTTGATGAAATTTTTTTATGACAATGACAATGAGAACACAATGGAAGAATAAGAATGCAAGGTTTTTTTGTTTATTTGTGTTGCTAATTTGGTGTTGCTATGTTTTGACTATTGAGGGTATTTTTTAATGTATTTTTGTTCTATTTATCTTCTCTGTTTCACTGGCAGGGCAATGGAGGGCTGCTCTGTTTCAATGGGCTGAGGGCTGGCTTTTGAGTTGGTTGCTGCTGTTTTTGAGTGTTGTATGTTACTGTTGCATTGTTGCTGGTTTATTTATTTATTACGGTTAACCGAAAAACCGAACCGAACCGAACCGAGGTTCGGTTCGGTTTGGTTCGGTTTTTCCTTCTCTTGCGGTGCGGTTCGGTTTGGACATTTTAACATTTTCGGTTTTCGGTTTGGTTCGGTTTTTCCTAGTCTAACTCCTTTTAATAAAATGACCCGATAAGTAATTCAATCAAGTTACCTGATGTGAATTTCTTTCTTTCTTTTTTTTGTTCTTTTTTTTTACAGCTTAATCACCTGATTTTTATGTTTTGAATTATCATACAGAACCAACCGTAAAATTAGGGTTTATATCCATATCCCTAAATTGACATTTGCAGTGTAAATGGCGGATTCGTCGGAGGGGGAGGATGAAGGGAAGCTGACCTGTGGAAACCAGCTGCTTGTGGTGGAAAATGACCTCCGTGAAATGGCGAAAATGGCTGCATGGAGCGTCAGCTCTTGCAAGCCTGGAAATGGTGTCGTTTCTCTTCGAGATGACAACCTAGATACCTATTGGCAGTCAGTACCCGCCATCTTTGTTCTATTGGTTCTGCTTTTAATGAATATTAAGAGTTGTGAAAGTTGTGCTTAAAGTTGCTGTCTTTGACGAGCCATGCTCTTATATGTGCTTGGATATCTTAGATCCTTTAGTGTTATTTTGAGATTGTGTATTTCTTAACCTGTGTGAAAAAATAGACGCTCGTGTTGTTTAATTTATATCAGCCTGTTTTTGCAATATTTTGGTGGATTTCAGATCAGATGGTGCGCAGCCTCATCTAGTTAATATCCAGTTTCAGAAGAAAGTAAAACTGAAGCTAGTAGTTCTGTATGTTGATTTCAAGCTTGATGAGAGTTACACACCTAGTAAGATATCAGTTAGAGCTGGCGATGGTTTCCACAACTTGAAGGTAATATTATATACCTATGTATATACATTGGTAGAGTTCTAATAAAAGCCAGTTCTTGTGTGAGTATCATATACGATGCTACTATTCATTGTGGATGATTCTATTTTTTATGTCATATGGTGCTATAATTTACAAATGTTATATTATATATATATATATATATATAGTATTGCTATTTATAAAAATAAATCATAATTAAAAGTAGTACCTAACACTATATAGCCTTACACAGAAAAATGGCATTCTTATATTCTTACTCTAAGGCTTGGTTCTTGTTTGAACCGTTTATATTTATATATTCATACTCTCTAATTTTTTTGGAAAAAAGTGCAAGTGTGAGAATAGGAGCAATCTCAACCACTGAATGAGATAACCATGATCTAATGGCTAACTAAATGAAGGAAAATTGGTGAAGCTATAAAAGAACTCTTTGATTTTCCATTTTGGGGCCATTTTCTTACGAAACATACGATAACAGAAAACTAATGATATTTTTTATTTTTTACTATCTCACTTCTAGTTTTCTATATCATAGGTCTAGATATTCTCTAGATTGCTAAATATGAATTTTACATGAGCAATATAATGTTTTTCTATAATTTGGTGCTTTTGTTTAATTGATGCTATAATTTTTCAAATTTTTATCTACGAAAACTTTTGCACTTTTTAGATTTACGATATGTATCCTAGATAGTGAAAAGATGATTAATTTGATATATTTTTCAATTAAAAAGAATAAACCAAGGAAGATATCACCCTTCAAAGATATGAATTATTTTTCCTTTAAATTTGAACTAAATTGTTGGAGAAGTGTTGGCGGATGGACATGCCCCTCTGTTACATGCTAGATTTGCCGCTTTTTTCCTTTTTTTTTTTTTTTAATAGCATAGCAATATAATGCAATGTAATGCTACATGTATTTGCGGTTTTGACTAATGATTGGATTTAGAGCATGTATGTACTATATGGACACACGGATAATCCAGATCTACTATTTTCTACACTAGGACCACAGTAACCTATCCTGTTTTATGTATACTAATTGATTTTGGTTATTAATCGTGGTAACATGAGTGCATGAATTATATATTACTTGATTTTTCTTGCCATGCCATTGATTGTACAGGAGATAAAAGCAGTGGAACTTGTTAAGCCAGCTGGATGGGTGTACATACCGTTATCTGGGACGGATCCAAGGTTAGCAACAGATTATTTATTTTTTGTTTTCATTTAAAGTTGTGACTTGATGCTGGCTGAACATATAACAGCATGTGTTAGTCAAATATATTGATGTGCTTCTGTTACGTGTGTCAACAGTTAATATTTGTATTTTCAGTTCTAAATTTACCAATCCATGGGATGATCTATCTACATGAAACTACGAGGAGAAATGTTTTTATAGTAAATCTTTCTGTGCCGAAGGAGGCAATGTTATGTCCTTAATCTTAGGAAACCATGCTTGTTTATGAAATAATTCATTTCCCACTCAAAATCTAACTCAACTTTAACTCAACCCCACTATCATTTATATTATTTATATAATTAAATATTATAAACCAATCATTCTTACATATCACATCAACTTTAATTCACTATTCATCCACTCACATAATTTTAACTACCTATCATTTTTAATCATTTCCAATCAGTTATATCCTACTTTTACATCAAATCATTAATAATCATTTTCAATCATTTATATCCCACTAACAATTAACCATACTACCTTTTTCAAAATTAACTATAGTTAACTAAAATAATTCATTTTGAATGAAATATTTCATAAACAAGCACGCCCTAAACAAACTCCTTTGTTTATATGTATCAGGGAAACATTTGTGAATACATTCATGTTGCAAATTACTGTCTTGTCTAATCACCTAAATGGAAGGGACACTCATGTGCGCGAAATCAAAGTTTATGGCCCTCGACAGTGAGTGAAAATTTTACCACTTCAAAAAAAGTAAATTTTCTTTTTATAATATTAATATTATGATTATCTTCTTTATTTCAGGAATCCTATCCCACACCAACCATTTCAGTTTACTTCGACTGAGTTCATTACTTACAGTACTCTGAGATGAAGTGAATCTTTGGTTGAAATAGAGAAATTAAAAGTATCACGATTTGTACCTTTTATAGGAAGATGAGGTTATTATCGTAATTTCTAGAGAGGTCATGCTTTTGAAAAATTGCTCAATCTGTTGTACTGATTCGTCATGATATTCCGCGAATGGGCTGAGTAATTTTGAATCAATTGTAGGTTTGTTGACATGAACTACCAGAAGTTGCAGTTCAGAGGTGTCAGTTTTTCACAAATTGGTGACTTTTAGTTATGTGCATGGGGCAGTTTATATATTTAAAAATAAAAAAATAATAAGTGGACAAAAAACAAAAAAAAAAGGGGGGAGTGGACCAACATAGAAAGCACGTATTTCGTAAATACGTTTTCTGTGTAATTTAATTAAAAAACGTATTTAAGGAATACGTTTTTTACATTTTTTTTACAAAGGAAACCGTATTCACGGAATACGTTTTACAAATAAAAAAATCAAAAGCCGTATTCAGCAAATACGGGCTTTTGATTCTTGTCCACCCCCTTTTTTCTTTTTCTTTTTTTGTCCACCACTTGTCTTCTTTTTTTTTTCCCGTAAAAGAATCTATGTGCATGAGCCCCTTCTGAGATCCAAGTATGATAGTTTAAACTTACTGGGCATGTTGGTTTTCAATTATTTAATGCACTGCCTAGTTTGTCAAATTTTTCAAGTCGCCCCTTGTCTTTGTATTGTATTAATATTTTGCATTTCTTTTCCTGAAGAGAGCAAGAATATTTTGTAATGAAATGATATTAGTCACCATGAAGTGTTGCAAATGAACATTCCACCTTCAAAGTTAGAATTGTTGAAAATTTGGAATTAATCATGTGAAAACTATCGTTTTAATCCACGAACATTCATATCGAATAATCAACAATCGTATTTAAATAGCAGAAGTATCTTAATTGAATCTATGTATTCGATCACCATGAATATTACATTGAATACGATCTGGATTACGAACACGATTTGGATCATGAATGTAGTCGGTATTACAGTCTTCCTCAACTAAATGGTCTTACATTTTTCATATGGGACCTGTCGCTCAAAATTACGAAAGAGAGAACACAGAGTTGTGTTTGATTTAGCTTATTGAGACCAATAATCAATAAACGGTTGGTCGCTCATTATTCCCTAAATTTAATAATATTAGGTATTTAGCAAGTCTAACTCATCATATTAATTACGTCCGCGAACTCTACTTTATTTAGATCACTTAATTGAATTATATTAATTAATTGAATAACTAATATAATTATATGTAATATCTTGCCCATAATTAGATTTTACATAGAAAAATAAAATATTTCCTATCAAGAACTACATTCTATTTTACTATTGTGCTTCTTAGAAAAGAAAAAAAAAAATAATAATTACACAAGAAATTTACCTCTTAAATGGAAAAACGAGGTATCCTTCAACGTAAAAGTACAGGCTAGTCAGGAGATGATACAGAGCATTTCCTTAACGATAGTCATCATAAAATAATAAAATACACGTATCAATGTACCAAATAAGAATAAAACACCGCAATCGAACGTATTTGATTTCCAATTCCATATCTGAGTTCAGGTTCGTTTTTCACACACCCCAAGAATTTCTGACCTTTCATTATCCAACACTTAAAACTGAAATTTATAAATGTCAAAACAGACATAGTTTCAACCTCTTACCACAGAGATACATTATACATCCAAAGAGAGAGCAACATTTTTCAAATCAAGATTCAGGTTTCATGGATTCTGTGAGCTGCTTCATATCATTATAGGGGTTGTTCCAACAGCTTCAAACCACATGTTTACGGTCACGAGCTGACGCCACATGATCCTGCAACAGCAACAAAATTTTACCACGCGAGCCAATTTCAACTTTCAAAATTATGCAACTCAACTATGTTTAAGATGTTGTAAATTCCTAACTCGCATTTAAGATCCATATAGAGGGTACAACATTTCTTTTGTAAAACAGTCTTATAAAGCTTACAGATGCAGTTGATGTCTTGATGACTGGAAGGTTTTTTGCACAGGATGCTTAAAGTTTAGAACATAAGTTAAAGGCATATAATCTAACCATCTAACAAAGAATATTAAGGGCAAAGATTAATCTTTTTCACAACAGGGTCAAAAAATATAATTTCCACATTTAGTCAAATAAGTACTTGGAGCGAAGTGTTATGAATGAATGTGTTCAGGTTTGCAAGAGTTGATAGGCACAAAATTCTATTAGATTTTATTTTTATTTTTATCATAGTTCTTTTAATTTTAATTATCATTTGAATATGTTCATCTGAAGCAACTTATATTTAGAAAATGGCTCTCATTCATGTAGTATGGATGTCAAAAGCACTTAAAATACTCTAAAGTCTTTGGGGAAGCATCAACCAACAAAACACAGACGACTTTTAAAATTGCACAATCAAAATTCTTTCAGTTGAGAATATTGCATATACTTTGATAGCAAATTATTGATCTCAATACTCAAGAAATTAAAACTCCCAAAAAACATAAAGCATATCATAACTCTCACTAAATCTCAACGACACTCCAGCATTTTAACATAAAAAGGACAACTTTTGCGGTTTGAATCCAAAAAGGTGCAAGGATAGCCAAGGCATCCTCTTATCTCTGCTTTTAACTCTTTGGGGGAATATTTGTAGGAAAATTAAAAGCTGGCATAGGTATAAACTTAAAGAAGCGAAAGGAAAACAAGTGGATGTTTACTAGTTCAGAAGATAACATAATGTTGCAAAAACCTCTTTGGTTTTTCTCTAATTGTTTCTTGGATTCTCAGAGAGGTCGCTGCGTCTCTTCTCAAACACTTCTCTTGTAAGTTAATTAAATACTCACAAGCCAAAAAAAATAAAAATTAATAATAATTGTTGTTGGATATAAGGATGTACGCTTGTTCGTTTTTTAGATGCTTCTTGGGTCACTGTTCTGAACTTGAATTGCTACCGAAGGGGAATTTAAAGGAAGAGATGAAAGAGGTGATGATACACTCAAGTTTTGGAATTTAAAGGAAGAGATGAATGAGGTGATGATACACTCAAGTTTTAATCGTTTCTCAAATCGAACCCACATATACATAAAATATACATGAAATATACACTTGAGGTTATCGTAATTCAAGTCAGTTACAAATCGGGACACACATATACATAAAATATACATTAATTACACACTCAAGTTTCAATCGTTTTTCTCAAATCGAACCCACATATACATAAAATATACGTAAAAATATACACTCAAGTTTCAATCGTTTCTCAAACCGAACCTACATATACATAAAATATACGTAAAATATATATTTGAGATTCTCGTAATTCAAGTCAGATCGGGACACACATATACATAAAATCTATATAAAATATACACTCGATTTACGTGATCATGTATGTTCTGTAGAAGAAAAATTCAACGTCTTTTCGCCGAGCATGATAAGAACAAAATTCTAATTATGAGGTAATGTTGACTTACCTTTTATTTTTCATTTTAACGTGATTGTAGGAAGATTGTTTTTTAATTAAACATGGTAACGGATATTTAGGTAACTGATTCTATTTCATCACCAAATAACAGCAATAAAGTATACATGCAATTAATATACACCACCTCGGCCGCTAGTGCTGAGTTTCTTCCTAATCGTGGAGTGCGGCAGGGTGACCCGATCTCGCCTTACCTATTTGTGTTGTGCATCGAAAGACTAGCCCACTTAATCCACAGTCACGTTTCAACCGGGACGTGGCGACCGATGATGGTTGGTGGGGACGAGGTTCAAGTTCCGCTCCTCATGTTTGCCGATGATCTCCTTTTGTTTCTTGAAGCGACCGACGATCAAGCGCATTTGGTTCATTCGGTACTCTCGGAATTTAGTTTAATGTCCGGTCTGCAGGTTAACCAAGCCAAGACTGATGTCTTCTTTTCGAGAAATGTCCCCGATGACCTCCAACAATCTCTGGCCAGTACCATGGGTTTTTTGATCACCCACACCCTAGGGAAGTATCTCGGAGTTCCGGTCCTTCATGGTCGTGTCACCAACCACACTTTTGGGGATATTCTCGATAAGGCGGATGGGAGGTTAGCAGGATGGAAGGCGAGCACGTTGTCTCTTGCAGGTCGTCTAGTTCTTTCACAGTCGGTGGTTTTATCTCTACCCTTCTATACCATGCAACCAGCTTGGTTACAAAATGCGAAATGTGATGGATTAGAAAAGCGATGCCGTGACTTTTTGTGGGGAGGCAATAATACGAACAGGAAAGCTCACCTTGTGTCTTGGGATACGATGTGTTTACCCAATGAGCTCGGGGGTCTTGGAATCAAACGACAATGCGAGATGAATAGCGCCCTCTTAATGAAGCTTAGTTGGTCCTTATTGACTAAGCCGCATGCATTATGGGTTCGGATCCTCCTGGCCAAGTATAAACTAAAACCCGCTTTGATGATGACAGATTACGTTTTTCCCAAAGGTTCGGCCCTTCTTCGAGCTATCAGCAAGGTGTGGCCGTTTGTGCGCTCTGGTGTTCGGTGGTCAATGGGGTAACTGTACGGTTTTGGCGAGATATTTGGTCACACAGCACGCGACCTATTCTTCAAGAGGTGTTGGGACCTATTCCAGATCATCAACTCGATTGGACTGTTAGCGATTATGTCAATGGCTCGGGCCAATGAAAGTGGGAACTTTTCAGTCACCTGGTGCCGACTAGGATTTTTGTTGCGCATAGCCGCTATTCCGCCACCATCCCGGCTTGTTGGACCTGACGTGTCGTACTGGGGTTTATCAGAAAACGGGTGCTTCACCACAAAATCGGCTTACTTGTCGTTGCTACAACCTCAGCCGAGTTCTGATCACATTTGATATGGCGCATCATCTGGAAATGGGTGGGACCGCAAAGAGTTCGTCAATTTCTCTGGCTTGTGGCTCAAGGTAAGCTCTTAACAAACACTGAACGGAGCCGCCGTCACCTAGCCGAGTCTTCTGTGTGTACCCTTTGTGAGCGGAGTGACGAATCAATCCTCCATTGTTTGCGCGACTGTGCAAGAGCGAAGAAGGTTTGGCAGAGCTTAATACCTGCTTATCGACACTCAGAGTTTTTTAATTTGTCGTTACGGGAGTGGTTGCTCCAGAACCTTCAAAATGGTTTGGCCATTGGGGTCGTAGGATGGGAGACTGTCTTTGGGGTTACAGTGTGGCAAATTTGGAAGGGACGAAATGAAAAGATCTTTTCCGATAAGGAGTTCATTGTGGCCAATAAAATCCGGGAGGTTCATCTACTTGTTCATGGAATCAAACGTGCTACATTGGCCATTGATCGCTTGACAGGTCTTGGTGACGGTCGAGAAACCCGGTTCATTCGGTGAGAGTCTCCTAGCATTGTATTCGTTAAAATCAATACAGATGGGTCTCTTCTTCCTTCTTCTGGGATGGCGGCTGCGGGGGGTTTGATCCGTGATGAAGTCGGGCGTTGGCTCGGGGGATTTGTCATGAATATTGGGTATTGTTCCATTACGGGAGCAGAGTTGTGGGGCCTTTTTCAAGGTCTGCTACTTGCATGGGATTTGGGGTTTCGTAAGATACTTGTTGAAGTAGACAATCAAAGTGTGGTGTCCATGGCGAATGGGGGCTTCACGGAGGACCTTGGAATTCATGGAAGTCTGGTCCGAGCCATTCGTGAGTTGCTTAACCGGGCATGGGAGTCTAGAGTGATTCATTGCTATAGAGAGGCGAATTTTGCGACTGATTGTTTGGCGTCCGTAACGCATCAATGGCCGAGTGGTTGTCAACGCTTATCAGACCCCCCCTTCGATGGTTACCCCGTGGCTACAGCATGATCTTATTGGAGTTGCTTACCGCGGAGCATAACTGTCAAGTAGAGATGTTAAACGGGCTAGCCCTAGCGGTTTCGGGCTAGCCCTAGCGGGCTTCGGGTTAAACGGTCCGGGCCTAAAAAGCCCGGATTTAAACGGGCTACCAAAAAAAGGACCTAACCCTAACCCTAGCGGGCTTCGGGCTAAACGGGCTATGCGGGCTATGGCTATAATAATAATAATAATAATAATAATAATAATAATAATAATAATAATAATATATAAAAAAAATAAAAAATAAAAAGAGTAAAAAATATAAAAAAAAATAACAACGGCTAGTTAAAAATTATTTTCAACGGCAATTTAGTATTTATCATCTATCACTATGTTTCATGTATTTCTTATTAGTCGTTCTGATTGGCTCAAATATTTTGGTATGAAGTACAATAACAATATTGTTAATAATTATATTTCAAAATCATAATAATCCATTACAACTCGTACTTACATGTGAAGTAAAATATCAAAATTATAATATACAAGGAATTTAAGAGTATATTACTTACTTGATGCAAATATTTACACCGCCCAACCCTAGTTAAACGGGCCAGCCCTAGCGGGTTCCAGGCTAGCCCTAGCGGGCTTCGGGCTAAACGGTCCGGGCCTAAAAAGCCCTGATTTAAACGGGCTACTAATAAAAGGACCTAACCCTCTTTTTTTCCGGGCTAAACGGGCTGGCCCGTCGGGCCAAGGACCATTTAACATCTCTACTGTCAAGGGACCCTAAGCTTTTGCCTTCTTCCATTGTACCAAAAAAAAAATATACAACACCTCGTATTTTTACAAATATTTTAAAATTTTGTGGTATGTTAAAAAATTCGCCATAAAAATGACCTAACGAAACAATAATTCAAGCTTGCGAATTGTAATGCTTTGCGAAGATCCAAATCCACAAAATTTCAGCATTTTGATCAAATGCTTTCTAACTTGATCGATTTTTCAAACTTCCATTTAGTAAATTAAAGTATGTGACCTTAATGCGGGTATAAATGCATAAATTTAGTTTAAATGAATTAATTTTCTTGCTTAAGTAATTTTACTAAAGATATATAATTATTAATACATAAAATTCAGAATAATAATTTTTTGGTTTACATAATTATGTAAAAATATAAAGTTAGTTGGAGTCTTAAATTGAGAACTATAATATAAAAGTAGGTATTCATTTGAAAATAATTTAAAATCGAATCTCTAAATTGGGAAAATTGAAAATTCAGACATTATTGTGATATAATACCAAAAAAATTAAAAAAAAATGAAGCTCTACAGTAATTTCTCTGGTTAAAATTGTAAAAGTAATTTTGTATGGACTAAAATTACAATATTGATTATATGGGAACAAAATTGTAACAATGGACTACTTTTGAGCGAATTGGAAGTCTCATCGTCGATCAGCAATTTTCTCCATTCAGCTGAACTGTAAATTAGGCTAATTTTTAAGTCCTACGCATCAGATCAGTCTCCTGTTAAAGACGCTTCGCTCGATCTTCTATCACCGGCAACTGTTCAGATCCCTATTTGGAAACTGGTAAATTGAATTTTCCTTGATACGTTCTTCATGATTTACTCCGTTTGTCCTCTATTCGAGGTTTATTGTTTTAGTAATTCAAAGCATATCGAGAGTAATTACTAATTAGCGAATTTGGCTGGAAATTTTAGGGTTGGTGTTCAAATTGTGAATTCCTTAGCCTCAGCCGCATGTTAATGTCTTTTTCTTGGTTCTGTCCTTTGAAAAAAGGCAGTGCATTTCTGCAATTTTCTTTATGGAGACAACTATTTGGCAACTGAAATTTTTTATACCAGTGGCTATATTAGTTGAAATTAGGCTTCCTGCAACACAGTTGTGTTCATTGCTTTGCCATTTGTGATTTTCTTGGATACGTTGTTTTTGAAATTATCACCAGAAATTTTAGAAGAAGAAAAAAAATGAATGATGAGACTTATATGCTCAATTTTCGAACGAACTTTTGTTTAAAACAAGCCGAACTCAAGCTGGAGCTGAATATATAAGTAAATAAACGAGTCGAGCCTTACTCTCAACCCATTAACCTTGTAGAGTGTGTTTCGAGCCTAGCGGAATAAAGACTTGAGTCGAGTTCGAGTATCTAACTGCTTGGGTTCAGCTTGGCTTGGATACAGCTCTAGTAGTAGGCCCTCCCCCATGGCAAGAACACAAGTGTTCACCAAAATCTTTTTGAAAATACACATGTTACAGTTCTTACTTTTTAATTTAATCGAAATTTATCATCACTATCCACCGCATGAAAAATATTCTCAGGAAAGCTTGTGTTTCAGAGTTCAGATTGAAATTTGGTTTCAACTTGCAATATCCTATTAGTGCTTATGTAATGATTAGTTTAAGGCCCAAAAGGCTGTTAATGCTTTACATCATTTAGGTTTTCTTTTGTTGAGCACCTCTTTTTATTTTCTATTTTATTTAATCGGTATATTTCTCGAATAGATATTGATGATTTATGCATGTGTATACTGTTAATTCCATTCTTTATCTCTGTATTTATTTTCCAGAGGTTTATGCATAAGGAAAAGTTCTACTATCAAACGATACCTCTACGTAATCATATTTTTTAGTTTCAATGGATGTTTTTCAGTTTTTATATTAGAAGTTCACAGCTCATGAAAGAACATTGTGCATAAATTCACGAGGCTTCGTTGAGATAAAATGCTATAATGTTTTTTTTTGTAAAACACTTTCTTCGTAAGGGTGATTCTTCTGTTTAACAGAAAAGAAAGAACATCATGTTAAAAGTTTTTCAAATATTCTGGAAAAACTATTGAAAATTATGTTAAAAAATAATGAATATTTGGGAATTGGCTTTAGCCCAAGTGGTAAAAGGCATTTTTTTATCAGGGTCAATTTCCACCAGTGCATGTGTTGGGTGATTTTCTGTATTTATTGTAATAATTGATAGTATTTCTTCTGTCTCGGCAAAGGTGCTTATGACTTCTACTTTACTATGGGCCAGGAGTTCTTTCTTTCAAGCCACCATTCGACCCAAGAACATTAGGCGGACATAAGCTCTCCTCAACGATGGACACGCCCGAAAAATCTCCTTCGCCAAAATCACCACCCGTTTTATTGTCGGACGATCCACTTTCAAGCCCGTACGCATCACTAAACTCCCATTGCCATGAACTCTCCACACTGCAGGACCTCGCCTGCCGTGGCGCGTGGCGAACAATCCTCGACAAGGTGGCTCGTTCGCGTTCGCTCTCCCTCCTCACCAAGCCTCACGAGCACCTCATTTACCTCACTTTCAACCTCCTTGCGCTCGTCAAGCTCCGCCGCTACTCAGACGCGCAGCACGAGCTTCAAACCATGGACGAAGATCTCGACTCCAAACAGTACCGATTCGAATCATACCCAGAACACTACCCGAATCACAAGCCCGGGTCAATGGTCCCTTTTGCCCTCCGTTGGCTGCACGCTCACTTGCCATTAACCCTAGGTGACCGTCAATTATCCCTTGATCGCCTTTACACTCTCCTGCATTTCATCCGTGAGAAGAAATTGCCCCGAGATCCAGATTCGATCAGTGATGTATCGCTAACCCTTTGGAAAAAGCGAGAGACTTTTGTAGTCAATACGATTGTCGGTTATCATTTGAGCCAGAAGGAGTTCAAGGTATGTTTGGCCTTGCTGAAGTCTGAGATAGTAAAAAATGAGGACCCTTTAATGATTTCACAACTAGGGTACGTGCAAATGCAGTATGGTGATTTGGATGGTGCAAAACGGAGCTTTGAGTTGGTGGATAGTATGGCGACGGGGGCTGATAGTGGGGATTTGAAGTTGAAAAATTTGGTGAGCAGGAACAAAGCATTGATGTATTTGGTGGGGAAAGATTATGTATCTGCCGTGAGGGAGTACGAGGAGTGTATAGAGAGGGATGGATCGGATTTTGTGGCGATTAATAATAAAGCACTCTGTTTGATGTACTTGAGAGACTTGTCAGATTCGATTAAGGTGTTGGAGAGTGCATTGGAGAGGGTGCCGACTGTGGCACTAAACGAGACGCTTGTGGTGAATCTGTGCAGTATGTACGAGTTGGCATATGTGAACCATGCAGATGTCAAGAAGACTCTCAGTACTTGGATCGCGAGAGTTGCTCCCGACGATTTTGATTCCTCGTGTACCAGGATTTGAGGTATAAATCGCTTGAATGCAACGGTTTTGTGGGATTTAATGTGTCCTGTTGTTAGAAAAGAAGTCTTGCGCCTTCAATGGCCTGCCCTTGATGATGATATTGTACCAAAGAAAATGAAGAGAGAAAAAAAAGGTGCTTTTTCTTTCCAGCTTTCTTTCTGCTACTCATTTCTCTTAAACTTCGATCCTTTTTTATTTTTATTATTTCTGAGTACACTATAAAGTTGAATTGCTCTGCAGTACAAACTCAAATTTGCAGAGCAACTCCTCTCCTTCATGTGAAATTATCATCTGGGCTGTGTTTATGATGATGTATGTTTTATGTTGAAAATGTAATCGTAGCAGCTAGGCCGAATCCTTTTCGTTTTCGAAGCAATGCCGTGTTTCAGTTTCAGTTTCTGTGAGTCTTTGTGCGAGTGTCCATTTTATCTTTTATTTTTTCTCTTGCATGTTTCATCTAATGCTGATATTTGAATGTATTGGCCCTAACGGTTTCGCGCTAGTCCTAGCGGGCTTCGTGCTAAACGGTCCAAGAAAAAAAAAAATGCACTGATTTAAGCGTACCGGAAAATAGAGGACCTAACCCTGTTATTTTCCGGGCTAAACGGACTGGCCCTACGGGCTTTAGCCCACTTAACATCTCTACTTATATCTGTAGTAGTTACATGTTAATGAATTGCATTGGCTTGCTCCAATATTTTCGGAGGTATAGTGATATCAGGAAACAGCCAAGTGTCAGTAATTGCTGAATATTTGGTTACTGTTTTGGAGGATTCTCATCAGAAAATTTCCCTGTGCCTGAGTATTTACTAAAAGTCCAAAACGGATTTGTTTGCTATTTATTGGAGAGGAATTATATGTGTTTATTTATTTACTAAATAATTATTTTTTATAAAAAAATATATCAAACGGCGGAATGCACCTTGGGTCGCTACAGAAACAGCCTCCTTGTATAATTACAAGGGTAAGGTCTGCGTACAACTGACCCCCAGACCCCAACCTGTTGGGAATGTACTGGGTATGTTGTTGTTGTTGTAATTATTTTTTATAAGCTCTTAACATATATAGCACATGAGAAAACAACTATAGCACATGAGAACTTATGGTGAAAAGTACTATTGATCTGTGGTAATTCTGATATCACGCGTCATAAGAAAACAAAATATGAACGAACGTCTTAAAACTCAACTTTTGCCAAAATGAAATGTGTCTAGGACAACACAAAAGGTTCCTCATTTTGTTTCTCATTACTTGGAAACATTTCCAAAGTTAAAATTCTCATCAAGAAGCAAGTCCTCCCATTCCCATAAATTGCTTTTTTCAACATTTGTTGTCCATACTGTCCTCTCCCCCAATGCTTCCTGTATGACAAGAAAATTGCCTTTACTTGCAGCTCAAAGATAATTAGAAGATTGAGTGAGTTTTTCTCTTTCGCCAAAATATCTTCGGAGAGCTACATATGTCAATTGCTAAAATTTTCGTTTTTTGGTTTTCTGACCCTTTAGAGGCATTAATGAATGAAAAAAATAAGATAAATAGTAGATTTTGGATGGTTTACCTCAGGCTGTGGATTAGGGGGAGTCGTATCTTGTCTTGCTTCTACTAATTGTGGATGAACTTGATATGGATCTTCATCTTGACCGGTAGTTGGCCTTTTACTTGGACGATCTTCTTCTTGTTCTTCGTTATTATTGATACTCGAGCCATTACCAAGATTTAGGTTAAGTTGACCTATTTCATCTTTTATTGTACTCGAGAATGGATTCAAGTTCAAATCTGCGTATTGCGTGTTGGTCGTGTTCATCTGGTCAGAGTGAGGTGTAGTCGTTGTAGTCATTGTGGTAAACGCGAATCTATTGAAACCATAGATAAAGTAGAAGAAATGTTAGGACTTATATATATGCGGAATTCAAATCACATGAATTTGCTGTTTTCTTGGAAAAAACTCGTAACAACTAAAATGTGATTTTTTTTTTTGACCTTGGAAGCTGGCTGTTGCACACGCTCTGGGTGAAGTCTTGAATTGCATTTGGAAAAGACGATGTCTGTGTAAGGATTTTCGATAATCCCTGTGTTAATTATGATATTATAATTACTGCCATTTCCAGAATGTAAATAAATGTAGTATGCTGTCAAAGTACCGTGGAGAAATTATTCCAGGCATTAACATTATGTTCTCGAGGAAAGCTGGGTAAAGCTTGATCCAGCACACCAAATGGTTGCTGCAGTAAAATATTGATATTCTTTAACTAAGAAATAACCAAAAACAGGTTCTTGAAAAAGTTCATATTTCGGTTAAAATATTTCTACCTGTGGTGGAATTTGTGATGGCGGGATTTGAGCATTTAGTTTCACCATAGGCTCTGATTCGAAGATGACCGAACAATGTTGGATAGGAAAGTTGCATATGTTTGGTGGGATAGGAAAGTTGGATGCATTTGATGGCCCGGGATTCATATTAGGCATGTATCCTGAAGGATCAAGTGCGTCTTGAAATATGTTATCCCGGATTATGGCTCTACATGAAGGGAGAATCATTATGGTTAGTAACTTAGTATCACTTTTTCGGTAATACGAACATGAAACAATATTACATTTGTCTAATATTGTTTAGTTTGATGAAAACAAAACATATGGTGAAAGTTCTCACCTGTATGGACTTATCCAAGGATCGAGTTGCATCAGAATTTGCCCGGTAGTAGGGTTTTGTTGTGGTGTTAAAGTCGATTCATTCTCGTTCAAGTTAGAGGAAAATAGAATGTTGTCTTGATTCTCCAACTCCATCTGATCCATTTTTTTCACTAAAAATCCTAAGTATGTACATAGAGAAGTACAATATCATGCAATTTTTGTCATGGAAACATATTCTCCTTACTTGGAAGTTTGGGGGTGTAGACGATGTTGATGAGTTTCCAAATAAGACACTCTATACAACAGAACAAATTTGGTGACAAAATTGAGTGTCAATTGATATGATTGAAAAAGACTCAACATGAATAATACATACATACATATAACTTGGTTTGGAATAGAAATAGCTAAGGTTTTGGACTTACTTTTCTAGCTATGACTCTTTCTATTGAGTTCTTTATGTTTCTTTCACACCATGATAACTGGTGTAAAGAGGGCTCTTGCTCTGGATCTAATTCGTAGTCCCTGCATAATGTTTTTTTAATTCGTGGTCTGATGGTTAGGTCGATCTAATCTTTATTGCTTTTTAAATAAAAAATAATGTATTATAGCTCTACTTGTGGCAATGGATCAAGTCGGCCGGTGTTTAGTCGGAATTGCTACACTCTACCGTTCAAGGATAGGTAGGTTTAGATATTGTCAAAAAAGTTTTTTAACTAACAATGAAGGGCTTCAAAATTAATAGGAGGTTTACCTCAAATCAGCTTCCAAAATTTGCAGCTCTAGACCACTCTTTTTAATTTGCAGTTCAAGATTCTGATAGGAAGTGATTGTTTTTAGTGAACAAAAAGGAAACAAAAATAAATACATAAATAAAATAAAATAAAATAATCAAAGCATAACTTTAGCGTGCCCAAAAATAAGGGTAGGAGAAAAAATTACCTCAATTCTTTTATTGTATATTTGTATTGATGCGTTTCAAGAATCACAACATATTGCAGAATTCGACATGTATCAAAATCAAATAATTCCAGTCAGATACTAAATTACTTAGGATTATATCAAGACAAACATATATTCAACATTTTATGTAACAATTAACTCTAAATTTTAGTTAGAAAAAAAAAAAAAAAAAAGATTAAAGTGGTCAAAAGTTAGGCGGAGCCACATTTGGGTCCGTTCGGGAATTTGGACTGTTACAAATCTCTCGCTATCGACCCAATTGACCCAACCCCAGTTAATTAGGCAATATTTTTCTTATTTATTTATTTTAATATAATTAATTTCAGAATAAACATATTTGTATATTTTGGTAAATATTTATGAAGAGAGACAATAATATTAAGACTTTCAGCCGTAAATTTTACATGTAAATAAATTATTTTATTATATTATTTATACTGCTAGAAATAATAATAATAAATATTATTTATACAATTCTAAGGCTCCAAAAATACTCCAAGAGAGAGGAAAAGAGATGTTACTGTTTGTCGAGATACTGTAATTTGTTTGTTTCACTCTTAATGTGATCAAGTTGCCGCAACTTTTCCATCTTTCTCTTCATGCAAATAAAATAAAAGAGTAAAATTTTACAATAAAAACATGTGAATATTCCTATCAATCATGGCACCAAAATTTCTTACATAGTGAAAAACATACCTGCACATTAGTTATGTGACTGAACCTCACCAAGCCCACCAAAACACAGAGAAAAAATGTTCATATATAGATATAAAATGGTTAGATGCCAATTAATCTTGGAAAAATTGAAAACACAAACATTTAAAAGTAAAAAAATAAATAAAAAAAATTACTTCAATCTACATTCTGGTGGTAAATTGACATATCGATGAAGCACATCTTCAATCCTGTGAAACACATTTTTATGTATTTAATTAATATAAATCACACTGTGTTTTTAGCAAAAACTTCTTCTAAGATGAACCTTTTTTGATTGCAGAACTTGCTGACTCGTCCAGAAGGCGAAAACGCAACAAACGCAACATCTATATCACAACAAACCGCTATCTCGTTCGCCTTTTTCATCAGACTACTTCGCCTCTTAGAGAACGTCACTTGACATTTAGTCACATCTTCGATCTTTTTCATGTCTATTTTTCGGCCCATTGCGATGTCATACATAAGAGATGGATATATATATATATATATATATATATATATATATATATATGCCTTGAAAATATTGAAAATGTTTGATGGGTGAATGAAATGTGTGCTATCCTCAAGAGCCTATTTATAAGCCTTGAAACCTTAATTTGTGAGGATTAGTGTGAAAAGTGAACAAGATTACAAATAAAATTTTTATTTTTTAATTTTTATAAGGGATATATTCCTAGACTATGACCCCTTCAAATGAATTTTGGCTTGTTTAGAAATGAGTTTCTATCGAGTATTAAGTGAAAGCAATCACTATAGTTGTCATTTGGATCCGCAAGCCTATGTACACATTGCACCGTTGAGTCATGTTTGACAATGTTAAATTAATATACTCTACAACTTCTATAATAATTGAGTAATATTGCATAAATTTGACTTTTATAGCATCATAATTAGAAGTCTACGATTAATGGTAATCACAAGTGGCAAGTTCTCTAGGAAATTATCTTTTAAAATCGTATTGAAAATATACCAATTACTAGGGTAAATGACATTTTTACGGTTTTACCAAATAATTTCTGCGGTCGTACAAAATCTCGTCTAACTAATAAAAATCGAGCATAAAAAGTAGGAAAAAAACTACCCCCATTAACTAGTACTTCGAGAGAATATTCGTGATTCTTTAGTTAGTGAACATTTCAAGCAATCGAAAAGTTACCGAATAAAATTGACATTTAAGCAAGCTACTAGGTATAATTTGCAATTTTTAATTTGAATATTTATGAAAGTTACTAGGTATAATTTTTAATTTTTCCCTAATTTGAATCTAGAGTTTTATTTTCACCCCTTCTCTAGTTTGTGCAAATTATTCACTTAGACAATTTTTTTTTTTAAAAAAAAAAGAGAGAGAGAGAGAGAATAACTCGAAAAGGGAAATAATAAATATACAAATTGCAGTCTAATTTGTCAAAATGTTTGCGTCAAACAGGCCTTTGACTAGCGCTTGAGCAATGACTAAGGCAGTTATGTGAACCCATTTTTGCTGATTCTAAGGCATTTGGGATAGATAAATGTTTTAATTTCAGTTGTGACACGTGTTTCATTCCCCCACAACATTTGTACTGCATTTTCAGAAAAAAGGATGAATTTTGTTAACCTTTGAACACAAATGTAAAAAGTAGAATCATTGCAATTAGCACAGGTTTGGCTAAATTGTAATGAGGATAAGGTCATAGTAAATTTATACAGATTTTGGGATAGACATAATCTTCTTTTGTGTTTCAACTTTATCATTTTTCCCTTCGTGTGACGCTTCTTATGCTGTATGGTAGTATGGTACACATACAAAAGTGAAATTTATTAAACAAACAGAATATAAAAACAGAAAAATTATATTATTTGAGGTTGGAAAATATTTAGGAATTTTTGTAGCTTTGTNATTAATTGTAATACGTTGCATAAGGCTAACTAAACCATTTTTCTTTTTAATTTATAATAAGTATTATGATTTTTGACATTTTGCAAAACGAATCGTGAAGTTCGATGATCGAACTCGGAAGTGGCCACCAATCGATGATTAAATAAACTAAAAAACCCGAGCGTTTTGGTAAAATATCACGACCTTTTTTGAACTTGTACATAAAATCACGATGTTTTATTTGTTTCCATAATCGATCACATATCGCCTAATAAATTGTATTTTGTTCAACTCTAATTGAGTTGAACCGCGAAAGACTTGCTAGAGGAGGCTCATAATACCGATTTCCCTATGATATTCCCAAGCAACTAACAATTGTACTTGACTATTAGAGCATCTCCAATGTTATAGCTTTGAAAGACAATAATTTTTAACACATGTCAATCAATGATTGTAATGTTAATCCATGTAGGAATAATGTTAAAAGAGTAGAAATTTGAATCAAACTAGTATCTCCAATGCATCAATTTCATAAGAAGTTATTTGTATAAGTGGACCAATTAAAATAATCATTAATACAAGAACAATAAAAAATTAAATCAAATATGAAGTGAATTGATTAGTCATCATGTTTAACATGGTGTTAGATATTAGAAAGTGTGTTCAACATTGTTAACATTAAATGCTATCCACCTCATCATGAAAGAGTTCATGACTAGATGCATTGGAGAATAAATTTGTAACGCACTTTCAAAAGTTGATGATATGAATGAATTTTTATAATGTCAAAAGCCACATTGGAGATGCTCTTAGCGTTTGGGTTTAATTAATGTCATTAAATAATCCATCATCAATAAAATACAAACCCTAATTATTATAAGTAAGCTTTACTATACAGAAATGTTCCCCTACCCACTGTGGACACATGTTAATATGTCCATTGCTTATGTGGCATGCACACATTGGTGATGTATTTTTTTTTAAATATTAACATCACTAATGTGTGCATGCCACATAAGCGGTGGACATATTAACATGTGTCCATCGTGGGTAGGGGAGCATTTCTCCTTTACTATATTCATCACTATTTGTACTGAATTTGTGAAGGAGAATGAGATGATTGTTAATTCCAGCTTTCTGTATTCGTCAAAGCATGATTATTGTCCATATATACAAAGGCCATGCATTTATGGTGCTCGACTACTTTCCCCGCTCGTCGGCCGAAAAAAATCAAAGAAACTGACCAAAATGTACAACCATACGACTATTTACTTCGTCGATTGCAACAACAAGGGCTTCAGCTTCACTACCCACCACTCGTTGCCCGAAAAAAAAACGACAAAATGTATAACCACACGACTATTTACTTCGTCGATTGCATTAACAAAGGCTTCGGCTTCACTACCCATCGCTCTTGGCAAAAAAAAATGGAAATTTGACACTCAAATAAGCTCTTAAATGGACCAAGAAGGGGGCACGAGAGGCTAATTGACAAACCAAGTTGAAGAAAGCGGCGCTCGCGGCTACCGTGTACTTCATTTGAAATGCGAGTATGTTGATTTTTCAAAATGAATCCCAACCTCCGAGCCTGGTAATCCATAGAATTCAAATCCATGTTTGTCGTATAATTTTTCCGTTGCATCCGAACGTGCTTGCCGAATATGAGAGCAAAGCCCTTGGAGTATAGGCTTGTACCTTCCTTAGAAAATTTATGGTTGTCCTTCTGTCTTATTTTGGGACCTGAGTGAGCAACCGACCTGTGGTTGCCCTCTTAGCCTTATTCAGGGGCGGATCCACAAAATTTATTTAGGGGGAACAAAATAATTTACAA